ACCTATAAATGTTATATCCAGTTATATTCTGTGTATCCAAGAAAGAATCCAGCATTAAGCATTCCACTGAGCTTGCCAGAACCAACTCTTGAGGGAGTCTATTCCACATTTTCACAGCTCTCACTGTAAAGAAACCTTTCCGTGTTTGGAGATTAAATTTTCTTTTCCTCCAGATGTAAAGAGTGCCCCTTTGTCCTCTGTGATGACCTCAGGGGGAATAACTCTACACAGAGTTTCACTATATGAACCACTGATGTATTTATACATGGAGATCATATCCCCCTTATGGTTGTATTATACATGGAGATCATATCCCCCTTATGTATTATACATGGTGATCATATCCCCCCATATACATATTTATACATGGAGATCATATCCCCCCTTATGTATTATACATGGAGATCATATCCCCCCCTTATGTATTATACCCCCCTTATGTATTTATACATGGAGATCATATCCCCCCTTATGTATTATACATGGAGATCATATCCCCCTTATGTATTAATACATGGAGATCATATCCCCCCTTATGTATTTATACATGGAGATCATATCCCCCCTTATGTATTATACATGGAGATCATATCCCCCCTTATGTATTATACATGGAGATCATATCCCCCCTTATGTATTATACATGGAGGAGATCATGGAGATCATATCCCCCCTTATGTATTATACATGGAGATCATATCCCCCCTTATGTATTATACATGGAGATCATATCCCCCCCCCTTTATGTATTATACATGGAGATCATATCCCCCCTTATGTATTATACATGGAGATTATAATGGAGATCATATCCCCCCCTTATGTATTATACATGGAGATCATATCCCCCCTTATGTATTATACATGGAGATCATATCCCCCCTTATGTATTATACATGGAGATCATATCTCCCCTTATGTATTATACATGGAGATCATATCCCCCCTTATGTATTATACATGGAGATCATATCCCCCCTTATGTATTATACATGGAGATCATATCCCCCCTAATCTCCTCTTCTCAAGAGAGAATACATTCAGTTCCTCTAATCTTTCCTCATAGCTGAGCTGAGCACTCACTTTTAAAATGTCAATTTTGGTGAAAAAAAAGGAAAAGTAGGGGAAAAAATGTTTAGTTTTGTTGTAGTCCCTGGGGAAAGGAAGTGCTGGGGAGAATATCCCCAGGGTTCATCTGGAAAAACTGTCAGGACTGTATGCTGTTTAAGAGCTTTTTGATATTTTCCTTCACTTCCAGCTCTGGTGACAACGATGAAAGAGACAATCTTATTCTATGAACACTGCTTATTAATCCCATCAAAATGTACTCCTCTAAAGACAGAGCAGGAGAAGATGGATTCTTATTGGATTACTGCTATTCTAAATAGCTGGAAGATCCTTCCCTTCAAATCTGTTTTACAGATGTGACCTCATCTAGATATAAACAATGACTTTGCTACTCTTCAGAACAATGTCCCTATAGTCCCTATAGGGGCATTCCGGGAGAAAGGGGGGGGGGAGCACGTGGTGCTGGTGGCGGCAGTGTGGTCCGGGAGATCAGTGAGCGGAGTGCGGTCCCTGGGGGGTGTGGGGGGGGAGGATTGTGGTCCCTGCTGGTGGAGGAGAGGTGGAGGCAGTATACAGACCCCTGCAGGACGAGGGGGAGAAATACCACATCCATCCACTGAGGCACAGCGCGGCCAGGAAAGAGTCTAGGAGACCCGCAGTGGGAGAAGGGTGACAGTACGGTCTATCCATCAAATCCTGGAATATATCTTTTCAGCCTGGAAAATACCATCTGGTTTACTTAGGACACAAAAGCGTTATTAGCCTTACTTAACAGTTTGGCTATATGTGAGGTGAGCGCATACATTTCTCAGCACAGCAAGAGTTTATTTCACCTGCACAGCAAGATTTGAATCACAGAGTGAACTCTATTAATAAATTTTATATTTTTAAATATATTTATATATTAATTAAATTAATTTTTATATTAATAATTAATTTTACATTTTTTTTGAATGCACTTTTTTCATCACTATTTTAATTATGAAGATATGATTAGTGTGGCACATTCACTTGAATGTAATATTGATTGACTATTCAGCACGATTGTGTATTATATGAAATTTATAATAATTATCAATATTATCAATTTAATATTGATGACATCGTGGTGACGTGGTGTCGTGGTGTCGTGGTGACGAAACGCGTTGGGCATCCCCTACTTGATGTTGATGTCAGGACGCTCCCTTTTCCCAGTGTGTGTCGGAGGTGATCTGCGGTGAGTGGGGATCGTCCATTACTTTAGTGCTGTGTATTGGCGATTAAGCTGGTGTCTGTCTGGACACCTGTCAGGGCTCTGGGTATGACCAGAGATGTGTGTACTGACACAGGGAAACGCAGGCTTCAGATATGGTATAAATAAGACAATTTATTAAGACTAACAATACAAATATAAACGCAGTGCACCAAACCCCAAGCTAACACAAATACATACAACAGGGTGAAACAAACCCAAACCTAAACTGATATAGATACACAGGTACATACACATATGGAGCACAACGTAGTCAGGAAAGCCGGGTTGATAACTAACGGACAGGTAGGTACAGGGGGTCAGGCAGAGAATGGTCAGGGTCACAAGCCAGGGATCAAACAGGAGAAGTCAGCAGAGGTCAGGATCAGGCAGGGTCGGCAACAAGTCAGGCAGAAACAGGAACAGCAATGCAGGTTACAAGATACAGGGGCCCACGGAAAAAACACACACCAAGGCCCTGACTGCGAGTCTGGCCATTCCTTAAATACAAGCCCTGCAATCAGGTGTTTTGGCTGACTGCAGGGGTGAGTCTCTGATTTCTGAGAGCACCCGCTGGCCAGCCCTGGTACTGCAGCCCCACAAGGCAGGTGAGTCCCACCACTATTGGCAAGTCCATTCCTGACAACACCTCTCTTGTGAGTTGTTTGGTATTTTAATAAATATAGATGTGTTTTTAAACGTACTGCATCATTATGTTTATTCCTTTGTCCCTGAATGTGACTCATGCATATATGGAGATACGGAGGTAAATTGAGAGATTCATCATGAGATCTTTGGCTGGAGAGTGTTGCTTCTGGTAGTGATATGCTGGTCTTTATGCCGATTACCATTATTGATCACCTGGATTTGACTATTATTGAACATTACTACATATAATACCTGGATATCGTTTACCCATCGCTCCCAGAGACAACAAGTGCTATTGCTGGTCTATAATTTGATCAGCATATAGCTCTGGTGAGTCCATCTAATTCATTTGGTCGTGGATTATTCACAATGTTATGAATTCACAGAGGACATTTTGAGTTTGTTTTGGACTTTGCACAGATTTATTAGGGACACTTAATTATATGGTGATATATAATTTTGTTTAGCGCATGCCCTTATTAGATATTGTTCACTTTGCCAAAATAATTTTTTATATATTTTTTTGGGTTGGTTGTTGCTGCTAACACACGGTTTAATTTGTTTATATAGTGTGGCGCTTTTTCTATTGGTTTATTTAGTATATTTTTTATATATTTATTTAGGAATTAATAGCACAATTTTATGATTGGTATAGGGACAGTGGTGGGCAAACCTTTTTTTTCAACTGAGCCAAATCTCGCCAAAACCACGATTGAAATTTATTTTGAGAGCCACATTTTTAAAACTGAAAATTCATCCCCCATATAGTAAATTCATCCCCCATAGTAATTCATCCCCCATATAGTAATTCATCCCCCATATAGTAATTCATCCCCCCATTGTAATTCATCCCCCATATAGTAATTCATCCCCCATATAGTAATTCATCCCCCATAGTAATTCATCCCCCCATAGTAATTCATCCCCCATATAGTAATTCATCCCCCATAGTAATTCATCATCCCCCATATAGTAATTCATCCCCCATAGTAAATTCATCCCCCATATAGTAATTCATTGCCCCCCATATAGTAATTCATCCCCCATAGTAATTCATCCCCCATATAGTAATCTCATCCCCCATAATAATTCATCCCCCATAGTAATTCATCCCCCCTATAGTAATTCATCCCCCATATAGTAATTCATCCATCATATAGTAATACATCCCCCATAGTAATTCATCCCCCATATAGTAATTCATCCCCCATAGTAATTCATGCCCCCATTAGTAATTCATCCCCCATATAGTATTCATCCCCCTATAGTAATTCATCCCCCCCTATAGTAATTCATTCCCCATATTGTGTCAAACGGACTGTGAGAGGAGTTTGTCACACTGCCCCGCCTACATCCTGGCTGCCCCGCCTACATCCTGACAGCCAATGTTTGCCACGCTCCGCGGGCCGGATTAAAAGGTCCGCCGGGCCGTAGTTTGCCCATTGCTGGGCTAGCTGCAGAGTCCTGACTTTTGGGGCGGCCGCCCGAGAGGAGGGAGGGGAGCGGGCGCCCGGCACACAGAAGAGCCGCATTAAAGTTTGTAAAGAGCCACATGTGGCTCGCGAGCCGCGGCTTGCCGACCACTGGTATAGGAGGTATATAAATTATATGTTTATATCACAGATATAATAAGGTTGTGGAGCGCGACACACATTTCATTTATTAACATTTTATTTTGCACAGTTTTATGGGTATGTGTATTAATGTTGAGGCACCACTATTATAATATTAATTAATTTAAACTAATTTAATTTATTTAAATGTAAATACCACATATTAGCTCATAATCACTTTATTCACACTAATGTCCCTATAGTCCTATCCAGGGGTGGACTGACAACTCATAGGGCCCCCGGGCAATAGGGGATCATGGGGCCCCGGTGTCCTTGCCCAAACTCAAAAAAGTCTATGAAAAAGGTACCAGGGGCATCTCATGGGGCCCCCTACTGACCCCCGGGCCCTCGGGCAGTGCCCAAGCTTCCAAATGGTCAGTCCGCCCCTAGTCCTATCATGAGGCACTAGGATGTCACATATATGAATCTGAACTAGGACAATACCTTATGAGTTTGGGGTGGCATCTCATCCTCCGAGCTTTCCTCCGGAACAGGATCTGGGTGCTTGGCTGTCTGTCCCTCCTCACTCCACCCTCCCATTGGCTGCTTTGCTAGGTTGGAAGAGGCTCTCTGCATGGATCCAAAATCTGCAGATTTAGAAGAACTCCAGTTTATAACACATTTTTCAAACATTACAACTTTGTGACATCTGAATTTGAAGGCTAGTGTATTATTGATGGTATCCTGCATTGCGGAGATAACTAGAAGCACGTAAAACATTTTGAACAAACAGTACATGATGTCAGCAGTTTCAGCACATCAATGAATTGACAGGTTCACTTCAACAGAATCATGTATTGGAGGACTTGCATTTCCAGGCATCGGAGACGTCATCTTTTTATTTTCTTCACTATCTGGTGTGTTACTAAACTTGAACAAGTACATGATGGATACCCTGACACTGAGCGCATGCTTTTTCTGGGTCAGTGATTCATTAGAGTTTAAGGGGTAACTCCACTTTTGTGGGGAAAAAATGTAGAAAATAAAAAAAATAATATAGCGTATACGATTGCTACACAAGTTATATTGTAGTTGAATGTTAAAAATGAATGTTAAAATGTACCTTTCCATTCTAACCTGAAACGCTGTACTTTTTCTGTACAATGCAATGCAATATAGGACAGCACAGTGGCTAAATGGTTAGCACTTCCACCTGGCAGTACTCGGGTCATTGGTTCGAATCCCAACCCCGGCACCACCTGCCTGGAGTTTGCATGTTCTCCCTGGGACTGCGTGGGTTTCCTCTGGGTACTCCGGTTTCCTCCCACACTCCAAAGACATGCTGGTAGGTTAATTGGATCCTGTCTAAATTGTCCCTAGTATGTGTATGTATGAATGTGAGTTAGGGACCTTAGATTGTACGCCCCTTGAGGGTTAGGGACTGATGTGAATGTACAATATATATGTAAAGCTCTGCGTAAGTTGACAGCGCTATATAAGTACCTGAAATAAATAATAAATAAATAATTATGGCTACCTGAAGGCATTCTGTACACAGATGGTGTACGGAATGCCCCCCAACAATGCCTTTTCGTGCTTGTGCGATTGGCTCACTGATTTTCCCAGAAGACTTCACTTAGAGACAAGTCAGATTTTGGGCATCCCCTGCAACAAAAATACGCCTTTTGGTGAGATACTCCCAAAAGGAAATCATATTTCGGGATGCAGATCCTGCCACTTACCCTCATTACAACCCTGCCAGTGTATCAGCTAACTGGTAATTATAAAGTCACTCCCATTCACAATGACTTTGCAGATGGACACAGACAAACAGCTATTTCTTTAAAATACCAAAAGGTAGGAATCTGCAACAAAGTTTGTTAAAATCCTTGCAATGTACTTAGATCACCTAGAGGGGAGTGTTTTTTTTTCCTCAACAAAAGTGGGGTTACTCTTTAAGGACTATTTCAAAATAGATTCTGTGCAAAGTAAAAGGGTCATGTTTTTACCCCTCTCGTGTTGTTGATTTCAGCTACCTTGGCTGAACTTTTTTTTTAGCATCTAGCACACTTTTGAGTGTTTTAGATTCCTCTTTGAACTGTTTTTTTTTCTGCTGACCCCTTACAAAAGGGCAAACATAAAAATTGCTGCGCTGCCTCTCCCAAAAACTACTTTAAATAATTAAATAAATTAATGAATTCCATACTACACAAAGGGTCCCCACCAATGTGCATGTGCTATAATGCCCTTTGGGCTGGCAATTATATCCCCCTCCCCAGTGACTAAATCCCAAATAAACCAATAAGTAAAATACAAGGTGCTTAAAGTGCTAAAAATAGTACATATACAACGCAATGAAACGTGGCCACGCTCCTGATGACGTCATAGGACGAAACATGTAGAGCGGGGTTTGATAGTGCTACACTTGTCCTCTGAGAAGGAAATGCTTTTTGCTGGGATTTAAAGTACCATACACATGGGTTTTTTTTTATTTTTTTCTATTTTTTACCTAATAAATACGGTGTTACGCTATGGAAGTTTCCCTTTGATGGTTTTACGGTGGTGGAGTACTGTGGAGGTCCTGGAGGAGTTTTGTCACAAACGATTGATCTAGAGGCGTTTCCACTATGGAGTCTGTCATCAGCGTATAGAGGTGTCAAGACCACACAGATGGGCAACTTGCCTGCAGGAGAGCGCTGCAACATCTCATGCGATATTTGACCTACCATTCTAGGTGGTCAATCTGTGGTGAGTGGGGCTCTGGAGGGGGAGCACTAATTGACGCACAGAGAATTGCTATGGATAAGAAGATTTACTACTGTATCACTTAATATTCACACCAGATGCAGATGGGGGTTTCTTTGGAGTTTTTTTTTAACTTTTATATGTTTGCACAATTATTGGGACTTTTAAAATATACATATATATTTTTATACAATTTCACTGTATACACAGTTTCATGGCATTAAGATGTTGCAGTGCTCTCCTGCAGGAAAGTTGGCCGTCTGTGTGATCTTGACACCTCTATATGCTGATGACAGACTCCATAGTGGAAACACCTCTAGATCAATCGTTTGCGACAAAAACTCCTCCAGAACCTACACAGTACTCCTCCACCGTAAAAACATCAAAGGTAAACTTCCATAGCGTAACACCATATTTATTAGGTAAAAAACATTTAAAATAGCACTTACATAAAAACCATGTGTATGGCACTTTAAATCCCAGCAAAAAGCAATTCCTTCTCAGACAAGTGTAGCGCTATCAAGCCCCTCTCTACATGTTTCGTCGTGTGACGTCATCAGGAGCGTGGCCACGTTTCATGGCATTGTATAAAAAACATTTAAAATAGCACTTACATAAAAACCATGTGTATGGCACTTTAAATCCCAGCAAAAAGCAATTCCTTCTCAAGACAAGTGTAGCGCTATCAAGCCCCTCTCTACATGTTTCGTCCTATGACATCATCAGGAGCGTGGCCATGATTCATGGCATTGTATATGTGCTATTTTTAGCACTGTTGTCCTTTAAGCACCTTGTATTTACTTATTGGTTTATTTGAGATTTAGTCACTGGGGAGGAGGGATATAATTGCCAGCCCACGGGGCATTATAGCACATGCACATTTGTGGGTATCCTTTGTGTAATACGGAGTTCATTCATGTATTTAATTGATTATTTAAGGTAGTTTTTGGGAGAGGCAGCGCAGAAATTTTTATGTTTGAACTCACACATTTTTCCACCGGTACACATTTGTGATTTTCCTAGCAGCAGTCAGTCTAATTGATCAGTCCTCTGCGCAGGTTATACTCACACTCCTTAAAAAAGGGACCACAGAGCACAAAAGAAGGACCAAACACCCAACCCACCCGAGAGTGTCAGATGCTAAACGCTCCTTTCCAAGATGCCCTCACAGACACAGCCCCCCTTTTCCACACCCATCCTTTACCTAAATGCTCTTATTACTCACCTGAATGCACAGTCACATGACATTCCAGTCCCGAGTCTCTCTTTTCTCCTGCGTACAGAAAGCGGAGTCTTTCTTCAGATCTCCTCATCACTGCCTGCGTGATCTGGACAATTCCTATTGGCTGTCCAGCGCCAGGGTTCTCTCAGGATCCAGAAGTGGATGACGTCAGAAAAAAAGGGGACTGACTGGGCACATCTGCATCCCAGGATTACCAGTCCCCTGCATCCGAAAATGGCAATGAAGGGGTACCTGGACGGCAGACTAAAGTGAGTATATCTCACAGTATAAAAAAACAAAAGGAATAAGTAAAGGTTGGTGGAAGGTAGAGGTTTCATTTTCTGCCAGGAGAGGTTTTTCAGCTAGAGTAGTTCTAGATAGGGGGAATTGTGAGGTGTAAATATAAACGCGTTAATTTGCGAGGAAGGACTTTTTAAACACGCTTTTTACTGCCAGCAAAGTCGCTCCAAGTAATAAAAGGAAGGATAGAGATGACAGCCTATTAATTTGTACCTACAGAGATAAGTCAGTGGTGGCAGCTACCACATTCTATGTTGACAGGTTCCCTTTAATCCCTCCAGAACATGTAGAGAGACACTCCTACCTGTGCTGGCACTGAACCTGTGAGCACTGATTGGTGGCATCCTGTCTTCCTGCAGCAGTGCTCCAGGGGAGGGGCAGCTGGCAGAGGATGGGATGTTGCCTGTAGTGTTGATGAGTCCATCAGCCGGCCCGCTACCCCGCTGTCATCGCTCTCCTGTCTGTGCCATATGTGCCGCCCTGCTGCCATACGGGTCTGCTGTTGATGTAACTGTCGGTAGAAAGCAGACAGAACGTACTCAAAGACCACTTTATATAAGCAATGTGCGAAAACCAATTCATTGTTATACAGGATTTATATATAGCGCCAATAGTATGCGCAGCACTTTACAATATAAAGGAGACAGTACAATTACAATACATTTCAGTACAGAGGGAATAGGAGGGCCCGGCTTGTGGAGCTTACAATCTAAAGGAAGGAGGAGGTGGTAAAAAAGGTGATAGCTGAGGGGGATGATCTGGCGGAGGTGATTCAAGTACAGTTCTTAGGTGGAGGTGGGGTAGACTTCCCTGAATAAGTGAGTTTTCAAAGATTGCCTAAAGAAAGAGAGTGGGGACTGACTGGACATACTGGGGTAGGGAGTTCCAGAAGATGGGAGAGGCTCTGGAGAAGTCCTGGAGGCAAGCGTGGGAGGAGGTGTATTGTCTGTATTGTCAAATTAGTTGCAGGCCAAATTCACAAAGACTGTTTAAACACAAATCACCAGCGCCAAAATTCGTGAAAATTATATACCAAATAAATAAATGCTGCTGCTCATTAGTGTAAACACCAAAAAAATATATAAAACATCAAAACAGCGCAAATATGTAACAATAAATAAATACACACTGCAAAAAAAAGAAAAATAATTAAAAAATCAATTCCACTCCAAATCAATAGTAACAAAAAAAAAAAAAAAATTATAAAATTAAAAATATGAAAAATATAAAAAATATATTTTTTATCATTTTTTTTTTTTTTACCATAATTTGGAGTGGGACTGATTTTTTATTATTTTTTTATTTGTTTGCAAATTCACAAAGAGGTGTCAGCGAGGATGAAATCAACAAACGATCACAAAGAAGTGTCAGTGAGGATGAAATCAACAAACAATCACAAAGAGGTGTCAGTGAGGATGACATCAACAAACAATCGCAAAGAGGTGTCAGTGATTTGGATGAAATCAACAAACAATCGCAAAGAGGTGTCAGTGAGGATGAAATCAACAAACAATCGCAAAGAGGTGTCAGTGAGGATGAAATCAACAAACAATCTCAAAGAGGTGTCAGTGAGGATAAAATCAACAAACAATCACAAAGAGGTGTCAGTGAGGAGGAAATCAACAAACAATCACAAAGAGGTGTCATGAGGATGAAATCAACAAACAATCACAAAGAGGTGTCAGTGAGGATGAAATCAACAATCACAAAGAGGTGTCAAAGAGTGTCAGTGAGGATGAAATCAACAAACAATCACAAAGAGGTGTCAGTGAGGATGAAATCAACAAACAATCACAAAGAGGTGTCAGTGAGGATGACATCAACAAACAATCACAAAGAGGTGTCAGTGAGGATGAAATCAACAAACAATCGCAAAGAGGTGTCAGTGAGGATGAAATCAACAAACAATCGCAAAGAGGTGTCAGTGAGGATGAAATCAACAAACAATCGCAAAGAGGTGTCAGTGAGGATGAAATCAACAAACAATCTCAAAGAGGTGTCAGTGAGGATAAAATCAACAAACAATCACAAAGAGGTGTCAGTGAGGAGGAAATCAACAAACAATCACAAAGAGGTGTCAGTGAGGATGAAATCAACAAACAATCACAAAGAGGTGTCAGTGAGGATGAAATCAACAATCACAAAGAGGTGTCAGTGAGGATGAAATCAACAAACAATCACAAAGAGGTGTCAGTGAGGATGAAATCAACAAACAATCACAAAGAGGTGTCAGTGAGGATGAAATCAACAAACAATCATAAAGAGGTGTCAGTGAGGATGAAATCAACAAACAATCATAAAGAGGTGTCAGTGAGGATGAAATCAACAAACAATCACAAAGAGGTGTCAGTGAGGATGAAATCAACAAACAATCACAAAGAGGTGTCAGTGAGGATAAAATCAACAAACAATCACAAAGAGGTGTCAGTGAGGATGAAATCAACAAACAATCATAAAGAGGTGTCAGTGAGGATGAAATCAACAAACAATCACAAAGAGGTGTCAGTGAGGATGAAATCAACAATCACAAAGAGGTGTCAGTGAGGATGAAATCAACAAACAATCACAAAGAGGTGTCAGTGAGGATGAAATCAACAATCACAAAGAGGTGTCAATGAGGATGAAATCAACAATCATAAAGAGGTGTCAGTGAGGATGAAATCAACAAAAAATCACAGAGGTGTCAGTGAGGATAAAATCAACAAACAATCACAAAGAGGTGTCAGTGAGGATGAAATCAACAAACAATTCAGATAATCTCAATACTGATGGTAGGAGCTTAATATCTAGACATGAAGAGTAGGGCGAGGCGTATGAGAACATACCTCATGCATGTACAAGGCGTGCAGGCTCATCTCCATTGAGGCGTATTCAGATAAAGGTCCGCTATTCATGGGGCCCTCCCACAAGCTGCTGCCAAAACTGAAACAAGAATCAATTTAGAAACATCCCAGTAAGTCAACAAAATATACACAGTGACCAGCGTAGGTTTGGAATGAGCATCAAAGTAGGGAACCTTGCTTTTTCCCCAGGCTAACTGGAGAATTCTGACATTTTTTAGGTGGGTAATGAATTGGCCATATCACAGGGTGTCATAGAACTGCTTCGAAGAGTAGGACTCCAGAGACTGACTGCCACTATTGTAATGAGGAAGCGATCCTAACTCGATACAAAGGTTACAAGGACCTATAACCATGCAATGTGATGGTGACTTTCATAGGTCCCTGGTCCTAGTATAACAGGTCAGACTGATCTATCGCAGTGGACACAATCAGCAGAGGTAATTTTCAGTTGCACAGTGACACAATCACACAATCACTTATGTAATGACGGTCTTAAATGGATATTTGTTTTTGCATATATACTGTTTTCATATATTTTCCTATTTATAAAGTAAAAGTATAGTATAAGTATTCACGTAACCTCCCTAGCGGTCTGATTATGTCAGTAGTTCTGTGCTCAAAGCGGTACATTGTTTTCAATGGAAATATGTTGTTTTTTTATTGTAGGACTGTAATTTTTAGGAATAACTCACTGAAATCTGTCCGAACAAGAGTCTAGTAAACATCCCGGGTATGATAAAATTTGAAACATGAAATCAGAAATTATATTATAATAAATAATCATAAAAAATAATAATATAATAATTAATGTAATTCAATAATATAATCAAACCAAAAACACTGAAATGTGAAATAGAGCGCCAAGTTCGCACATCGCTGAGCAAAGTCGCAAAATCGTTTTCAGTGTCTGACGAATTTCCCCCACAAATCATTATCACTCAATTCTGCAAGTGGTTCTGATTTACTATCGCTGTTCTCTAGCGGTCTAAAACCGCTTTTGACCTAAAGGGACGCTTTTTGGACGCCATGGACGTTTCTCAGTTTCAAGGCAGAAAGAACAAAAAATGCAGGCAGGGCGCCGGACAAAGCACTCGGGACAAAATGTATGTGAAATGGTTTGATACAGGAATGTTATACTATCAGATTTTAGTGTATTTAGTGAATGTCAAATTTTTACATTTTTGAATTTCCCGCCGGTTCCGTCCCCCGTACGTCCTGACGCTTGCAGGGAATGGAACCCGGAAGAGAGATGCCGTAATGAGCCGGAGGACACGGCCGGGGACACTGCAGGAGGGACATCGCGGGAGCGCAGGACAAGGTAAGTGATCGTGGAGCAACGCTGCAGGGGGGACTGCGTGGGAGCGAAGGACAAGGTAAGTGATCGAGGAATCGTGGAGCAACGCTGCAGGGGGGACATCACGGGAGCGAAGGACAAGGTAAGTGATCGAGAAATCGCGGAGCAACGCTGCAGGGGGGACATCACGGGAGCGAAGGACAAGGTAAGTGAAACAGGGATGCAGAGTGTAGCTCGGGGTTACCGCTTGTGGTACTGAAAGTTAACCCCGAGCTACACTTGGGAATACCGCCAGATAGGTTAAAGAATAATTAAAATTTTGTGGGGGAAAAAAATAGCAAATAAAAAACTAATATAGAGTAGAGAATTGCGACACAAGTCATATTGTAAATTAATATTTTTAAATATGAGCTTTCCTTTTCAATATGCAGTGCTGTAATTTTCTGTAAATTGCAATATGGCTGCCTGGAGGTGTTCTGTATACAGACATGTGCAGAACGACCCTAGAAATGTCATTTCCTGCTTGTGTGATTGGTTCATGGATTTTCCCAGAAGTCTGCAAAAAGGTGCAAATCAGATTTTTGTTAGGAAGAAAAAAGCAACTGAATGCCAGAGCTCCTGCGCTGGACAATGGACTCCACAGTGTCAATATCCCACATGTATATGAAAAGAATGCAAGCCTTGCTGCCCTCTACAGACCAGGGAAATCCAAAGAGAACTGTGTACAAAGAGACAAAAAGAGGGCGCACAGGCCTAGTGCATTACCTTAACCCCTTCACACCGGCGCCTCCCGGCCCTTTAAGAGTTTCAGAAGGCGGGAGGGGGCGGGGTTTAGGGTCATGTGACCGCCGTGACGGCACATGATCAGGAAAGGTCCCGATCGAAAGAAATCGGGACCTTTCCGTGAGTACTGGACATGTGTGCTGGGAGCGTGCAGGGTGTGTGCTTTCGGCACATATGTCCTTTTTTAATAGAATGCAAATATGTGGCCGCTCGGCATCTAGGCCCAGACGCCGGGAGGCCGCACAGTTGCGTTTGGTCGGCGTGAAGAGGTTAAAAGATGAGATTTATTGATAAAGAAGTATAATACTCACAAGATAAATAAAATCAAATGGAAAGCATGTCACAGGGAATGCAGTGTTGTCCAAAAAAACCCCTGAAGATTGTCTGGTGGGGGACTGTAGACCTCTGGATAGCTGGTGGCAGACGCATTTCGAGGTTGTACCTCTAGGGCTCTGAGGAAGAGGTACAACCTCGAAACGCATCAGCAACCAGCTATCCAGAGGTCTACAGTCCCCCACCAGACAACCTTCAGGGGTTTTTTGGACCACACTGCATTCCCTGTGACATGCTTTCCATTTGATTTTATTTCTCTTGTGAGTATTATACTTCTTTATCAATAAATCTCATCTTTTAAGGTAATGCACTAGGCCTGTGCGCCCTCTTTTTGTCTCTTTGTATACATATCAGATTTTGTACATCCCCTGCAACAAAAATTTCATTTTTGGGGAGATACTCCAAAAGAAGAAAAAGAAAAAGGGAAATCACGTCTAAAGGGATGCAGACCCTGCCACGTTCCTCATTAGAGCCCTGCAAGCGCAACAACTGATTGATAATTATAAAACCACTTCCATCCAGATTCACTCTGCTCATGGACACAAACAAACAAACAAACAAACAAACAAACAAGCAGCTATTCCTTCAGAATAACAAAAGGATGGAATCTGCAACAAAGTTTATTAAATTCTTGCAATGTACATAGATCACCCAGAGGGGAATATTGTTTCACAACAATAGGGAAGCTACTCTTTAAAGTGGAACTATACTCACCTCAATTCCAGCGATGCAATGTCCCTCCCCCCCCACCCCCCTTCCTTGGCCAATGACATATTCAAACGACTGGCTTCTGGGTCTTTAATACCGTCTGCTGTCATTGGCTGGGTGGGGATTACATCACATCAATCAGCTTTAGACAGTGAGCTGCGTACGTGCGGCTCACTGTAAAGGGGTGGACAGGCAGGTAAGTAACTTTAATGCAGAAGAGACAAAGCACATCTCTTCTGCATTAAAATTCCTTCCTATTTGCCCATTTTTTTATTTTACCACTGTAAGATGATGGTAGCTGTATTAGTGCACCTGCAACACAGTTGAGTACTGTCAGTGATCCTTTTTTTCTTTTTTTTTGCAGTGATAGTTTGTTTACATTAGCAGGTGCCCATGATATGGATTGCTCTTCAGAAGGCCTTTGACAGCCTGTCAGGAGGCATTATATTGTCTCCTCACCACCTGATTTAACCCTGTACATGGCAACGGAATCGTGTGTGCTGCTTGTGGTTGCGATATCAACCCTATAGACTTGCACTGGTCGAGTTCAGTGGCAGTGGTAAAACTACAGCTCAACCACCTGATTTTACAGCCCCCAAGCCACACGTGTGGACAAAGCCTCATACAGTTGCAGACAACAGTTGAAACCTAACAGGGGTTCTAATCCTTCCCTATGTTATCTGAAGCTAAAAAGAAAAAAAGATTTTTGACTGGACATACAATTTAAAAGAGAAGTAGGACTTTTTTTTTCCCCCCCATATTTATACTTACCTAAGTGGATGCAGCATTGGTCCAGTGCTGCATCTGTCACCCGCCAACTCTAAGGGTGAGAACTCAGAGATCACATGACCGCTGATTGCTCAGTTCTCCCAGCCGCTCTGAGCAGAGAGCGGCGACTGTCAATCACTGCTTTCTGCTCAGCCCCCCCAGCCCTCACTGGAGCTCTGGACTGTGAAGGAGGCGGGAGCGGCTGGCTAAGGCTCTTAGCGCAACGCTGAGAAACTGAACCAGGTGCCACTACAGACTATAGAGTGGATCCTGACTTTGAAGTCGAGATCTTTCCCTAGTCTGGACCAGCTGAGTGATGTCAACCGACAGCACATAACTGCTGATTGCTCAGTTCTCCCAGCCGCTCTGAGCAGAGAGCGGCGACTGTCAATCACTGCTTTCTGCTCAGCCCCCCCCCAGCACTCACTGGAGCTCTGGACTGTGAAGGGGCCGGGGTAGCGGCTGGCTCTGGCTCTTAGCGCTTCACTGAGAAACTGAGCCAGGTGCCGCTACAGACTATAGAGTGGATCCCAACTTTGAAGTTGAGATCTTTCCCTAGTCTGCACCAGCTGAGTGGCGTCAACCGACAGCAGGCTTCAGTCCGCTGTCAGCTAAAAACAGGTCACAGGAGTGCAGAACCAACTGCACTCCTGTGATCCACAGGATAAGTATAGCCAAATGACCTATGGCTGTACTTCTCCTTTAACTCATTCATTTCATTACCAAAAAAAATACCAGACATACTGTAAAAAAATGGTCACAGAAGTAATAAAAAAATCAGTTTGAGATATGTACATTATCTCCAAGTCATGTATTCAAACCCTTCTGCATGGGTTTCCATCTGAAAATTATAACACATATACACAAACGCACACACAAAAACACACACACACACTGCAGGGGCCATACATGGGTCGAATTCCAAACAAAATTTCTTTAGAAAACCAGAAAGTCCGTGCATTTTGTGATCCGATGGTGCCACCATTGATTTCGAAATTCGACCAACCAAGCCTTTAACTTCACCTCATGTTGCTACAGAAAAGAATTTTCATGGCCAAGAATTTTCTTTTCTGTCCAGCTCATTTCTTTTTCAATTACATTTCCCGCATGCTTCTCCCATCATTGATTAGAAATTCGTTCTTTTTTCAAAAAATGTCCAACATGCCCGATCACTCAAATTCGATGGGCCGTTGATGTGGCCCACTAACGGTGCAAAATTCGAACGAAAATTCTTAGAAAAGATTTTCGAAAGAAAATTCTTTTGGAATTCGACCTGAGTATGGCCGGCTTTAACAGAGCAGGACAGGAGCTTCCAGTTGTCTACATCACTGCGCTCTCCTCACCCGCTCTGGTTTACTGCTGTGTGGCAGGACTGCTGTGGAGACAGGGAACGGAGAGCAGAGGCCACCTCGGACACGGCAGAGATGTGCGGAGAGCAGAGGACGTCAGTGCGTGGAGGGAAGCCTCCCGGAGACACTCCAGTGAAGACATTTGCCATAAGGCTGTGCGGCTGAAACAGAACAGAGGGAGACAGAAATAAAAATGTCTGAAACGGTACACTTTTTATTGGCTACTGATAACGTACATGATTATTTCTGGTGCAAGAGTATTGTCGCTAGATTTATAGATACGAATCATTCCTACACCAACAACTACTGTATTTTTCGCTCCATAAGATGCACTTTCCCCCCCCCCAAAAATGGGGGGAAAATGTCTGTGCTTCTTATGGAGCGAATATGGAGCCTTGTTAGAATACCAGGATGGCCACTCGCCTCTTCTGTGCAGCAGAACCTGCTCCTCTGTCCTACCTGTTCCTCGGTCCAGTGGTGTCCTCATCATCTTCTCTCCCTGGCTCCGGCATCTTTAGTGTGGGCACCCGGCTGTGACAGATTGCGGCTTCACAGCCAGGTGCCCACTGCGCATGTGCGAGAAGCGCTGCGCTTTGTGAATGGTCCGGCAGGTTTCTGGGACCTGTCACGTGTCCCAGAAGACGGGGAGGGAGGACAGCTCCGCGGAAGTGGGGGTACCTGTCAAATTCGGGTACCCGCTCCCCCCTTCCGCTCCCCAAAGGTCTGCAGTCTCTGGTCCATCTCCTGTGCTATGTCCGCAGTCTCTGGTCATTTCCTGTACTATGTCCGCAGTCTCTGGTCATTTCCTGTACTATGTCCGCAGTCTCTGGTCATCTCCTGTACTATGTCTGCAGTCTCTGGTCCATCTCCTGTACTGTGTCCGCAGTCTCTGGTCCATCTCCTGTACTGTGTCCGCAGTCTCTGGTCATCTCCTGTACTATCGTCCGCAGTCTCTGGTCATTTCCTGTACTATGTCTGCAGTCTCTGGTCATCCCCTGTACTGTGTCTGCAGTCTCTGGTCATCTCCTGTACTGTGTCCGCAGTCTCTGGTCATCTCCTGTACTATGTCCGCAGTCTCTGGTCATTTCCTGTACTATGTCCGCAGTCTCTGGTCATCTCCTGTACTATGTCTGCAGTCTCTGGTCCATCTCCTGTACTGTGTCCGCAGTCTCTGGTCCATCTCCTGTACTGTGTCCGCAGTCTCTGGTCATCTCCTGTACTGTGTCCGCAGTCTCTGGTCATCTCCTGTACCATGTCCGCAGTCTCTGGTCATCCCCTGTACTGTGTCCGCAGTCTCTGGTCATCTCCTGTACTGTGTCCGCAGTCTCTGGTCATCTCCTGTACTGTGTCCGCAGTCTCTGGTCATCTCCTGTACTGTGTCCGCAGTCTCTGGTCATCTCCTGTACTGTGTCCGCAGTCTCTGGTCATCCCCTGCACTGTGTCCGCAGTCTCTGGTCATCTCTTGTACTGTGTCCGCAGTCTCTGGTCATCTCCTGTAATGTGTCCGCAGTGCCGCATTGTAGAGTGCTGAAACGCACATGCATTGTGGTGTGTTGGGAAGGTGTGAAGGGGTGTCATTCAAAATTAAGTAATTTTTGTACAATATGTAATACAATAACTGACAAAAAAACAAGGTAAATAATCAGCACAAAAAAAAGCTTCACTGAAAGCAAACCATTTTAGGAAGTTATGCAGGCCATAGACGGGTCGAAAATCGGCCAATTTTTGCACCGTTAGTTGGTTAATTGGTCGGCCGGTTTTCGGGGTTTTGGCACTTTTTTTTAATTGGTCAAGTTAGAAAATGCTTTTGACGATCGGCCAATTTTCCCGGCAATGACGGGCAAATCGGCCGATCATTTTACCTATAAAAAAATCTGCGTATGAGCCGTGACCTGGAGGAAGAAGAAGAAGAAAGAAGAAGAAAGGAGGAAGAAGAAGAAGAAAGGAAGAAGAAGAAGAAAGGAAGAAGAAGAAGAAAGGGAAGAAGAAGAAAGGAAGAAGAGGAAGAAGAAAGGAAGAAGAAGAGGAAGAAAGAAGAAGAAAGAAGAAGAAGAGGAAGAAAGGAAGAAGAAGAAAGAAGAGAAAGAAGAAAAGGAAGAAGAAGAAGAAGAAGAAGAAAGAAGAAGAAGAAGGAAAAGGAAGAAAAAGAGAAAAGAAGAAGAAGAAGAAGAAGAAGAAAAGGAAGAAAAAGAAGAAGAAAGAAGAAGAAGGAAAAGGAAGTAAAAGAAGAAGAAGGAAAAGGAAGAAAAAGAAGAAGAAGAAGAAAGAAGAAGAAGGAAAGGAAGAAAAAGAAGGAAGCAGAAAGAAGAAGAAGAAAGAAGAAGAAAGAAGAAAGAAGAAGAAGAGAAGAAGAAGAAGGAAAAGGAAGAAGAAGAAGCAGGAAAAAAAGAAGAAGAAGGAAGAAGAATTCCAGTCCGCTCTTATATTTTTATTTGAAAAGTATTGCGGTTGCAACAATGTATCTATTTGTATCCGAATAAAACCATCTGTATCCGAAATGGATACATTGTTGCAACCGCAAGACTTTTTCATGTAAAAAAATATAATAGCGGAGCTCTCTGTAAGGGATAGAAGTAATTATGGGGTTAAATGCCGGCCGTAGACGGGACGAAAATCGGCCGATTTTTTTACCGTTGATGGTAACGTCGGCCGATCGAACGACCGATTTTTCTTTTTTTTTTTATATAAAAAAAAACGGCCGGTTTTTCGACCCGTCTATGGCCTGCCTTAGACCCATACAAAAGTGAACATACAAGCCGCCCATTAAAAATGCAACAGAATGGAAATTTTATGGACACAACACTCCTTTTTTTCACATCTGCGCATTGTGTTCCGAAACGCGAGTGTTTTGTGGTGCATTAACAAGGCGTGAAGGAATGCCATTCAAAATGGAGTCAGTCATTTTTCTAAGTTACCATGTGTGGCAGTAACGCCTGTATTACTGCAAACACACATATGAAGGTAGACTAAAAGCAGACTTGTCACAAGTCCAAGCAATTCAAAATGAGCATATAGTTCTCTTCTGTGAAAACCACATTTTTAAAACAACCAATGGATCCAAAAATATAGAGCCAGAATTATATGTAAATCCTGGCTCTTGCTTTAAAAGTTGTAAAAGTGTATTTTTTTCCTCTAAAGAGTAACTCCACTTTGTTGAGAAAAAAAATTCCCCTCTGGGTGATCTATGTACATTTGCAGGGATTTTAACAAATTTTGTTGCAGATTCCTACCGTTTGTTAATCTGAAGAATTAGCTGTTTGTTTGTTTGTCTGTGTCCATGTCCAGAGTGAATCTATATGGGAGTGGTTTCATAATGATCAATCAGTTGCTGCACCTGCAGGGTTCTAATGAGGAAAGTGGCATGGTCTGCATCCCTTTAAACCTGATTTCTGTCTGGGAGTATCTCAACAAAAATGATATTGTTGCAGGGGATGCCACAAATCTGACTTGTATCTTGTAACTTGTATCTAGTGCAGACTTCTGGGAAAATCAGTAAGCCAATGACACAAGCAGGAAATGACTTTTTTTTTCGGAGGCCTTCTGTACATCTGTGTGCAGAACGCCTCAAGGTTGCCATATTGCATTGCATTGTACAGAAAATGACAGCACGACAGATTGAAAAACGAAAGGCAATTTTTAATATGACTTACTTCTTATTTGTTACTTTCTTCCCACAAAAGTAGAGTTACCCTTTAAATAACAATGTTTAAATACAGGCAAGAAAAAAGCCAAAGGTTACATGACACAAACTTAAGGTGTTACTAAACCCCGGACCCTGCATTCACTATATCCAGTCTCCCCGGACTCCGGTCTCCCCGGACCCCGCATTCACTATATCTGGTCTCCCCGGACCCCGCATTCACTATATCTGGTCCCCCCGGACCCGCATTCACTATATCTGGTCTCCCCCGGACCCTGCATTCACTATATCCAGTCTCCCCGGACCCTGCATTCACTATATCCAGTCTCCCTGGACTCCGCATTCACTATATCTGGTCTCTCTGGACCCTGCATCATTCACTATATCTGGTCTCCCGGACCCCGCATTCACTATATCTGGTCCCCCGGACCCTGCATTCACTATATCTGGTCCCGGACCCTGCATTCACTATATCCAGTCTCCCCGGACCCTGCAGATCCGCATTCACTATATCTGGTCTCCCCGGACCCCGCATTCACTATATCTGGTCTCCCCGGACCCGCATTCACTATATCTGGTCCCCCCGGACACCGCATTCACTAGATCTGGTCTCCCCGGACCCTGCATTCACTATATCCATCTGGTCTCCGCATTCCTAGATGGTCTCCCTGGACCCTGCATTCACTATATCTGGTCTCCCCCGGACCCTCATTCACTATGTCTGGTCTCCCCGGACCCTGCATTCACTATATCTGGTCTCTCTGGACCCTGCATTCACTATATCTGGTCTCTCTGGACCCTGCATTCACTATATCTGGTCTCCCTGGACCCCGCATTCACTATATCTGGTCTCCCAGGACCACTGCATTCACCTGGTCTCCCTGGACCCTGCATTCACTATATCCATCTCCTCGGACCCTGCATTCACTATATCTGCATTCATATATCTGGTCTCCCCGGACCCTGCATTCACTATATCTGGTCTCCCCGGACCCCCTGCACTATATTGGTCACCCTGCTATATCTTCTTCCCGGACCCTGCATTCACTATATCTGGTCCCCCCGGACCCTGCATTCACTATATCTGGTCTCCCGGACCTGAATTCTGCTATATCCTATCCCCGGATCCTGCATTCACCCCCCGGTTTCCCTGCATTCACTATATCTGGTCTCCCCGGACCCTAAGCCGCCTTCACTATATTCTGGTGTCCCCGGATCCTGCATTCACTATATCCGCTCTCCCCGGACCCTGCATTCACTATATCTGGTCTCCCCGGACCCTGCATTCACTATATCTGGTCTCCCAGGACCCTGCATTCACACTATATTCACTATATCCACCGGTCTCCCAGGACCTGCATTCACTATTCCGGTCTACCCTATTCACCGGTCTCCCAGGACCCTGCATTCACTATATCTGGTCTCCCCGGACCCTGCATTCACTATATCTGGTCTCCCCGGACCCTGCATTCACTATATCTGGTCTCCCCGGACCCTGCATTCACTATATCTGGTCCCAGGACCCTGCATTCACTATATCGGTCTCCCAGGACCCTGCATTCACATATCCGCTCTCCCCGGACCCTGCATTCACTATATCTGGTCTCCCCAGACCCTTGCATTCACTATATCCGGTCTCCCAGGACCCTGCATTCACTATATCTGGTCTCCCACATTACGCACAACATGGAATGCAATTATTTTAGTAAATATAAACTGCTAAATACATCATCAGCAGTATATAGCAGTCTTGTGACAACGTCTATCAGTGTCTGGCTAAGCACTGACAGAAGCTTGTAGGAGGAGTTTTTCATTTTCCTCTGACTGTCCTATGATGCTGCATGACCCCTGACCCTCTGTCTGGACAACGCTGATTGATCCTGTGCTGACACATGCACTCTCCCGAAAACAAAAAAAACTCTCTAGCAATATACACCAAATTGAGCATGTGCCTCCTAGGGATCTATACTATCAGCAGATGGATTGGGGACAGTAAAAAAAAACGGGAGGAGCAGAGAAGACAGGATCAAACAGCCTTTTTACACAATGCGGAGGATTAACCCGTTAGGTTCCACAGTGAGTATAACAAGCATGCTTTACTGCATATACAGACTGATTTTACAATTGTGGGTTAAGTAACACTTTAATTTTGTATGTCCTTCAGCTGCTTCAAATTATCATGGCGATTGTAAAAATTTACATCAGGCTATATTTTTTTTTTGGCTTTGTGCCTACAGGTAAACCTATGACCTGTAGGTACCGTAAATATCTCCTAAACATGCACAAACATCACTGGCGCATGTGCTCTGAAGGAACAACATACAAGTGCCATTCTTTCAGAGCCATGTGCCGTAAACAGTGACCCCTGCAAGCATACGTGGGAGTGACGTCATTGAAGCTCAGCCAATCAAGTGGCTGCAGCTAGCGCACCCAGAAGACTGGGTGAAGATGGAATCCCTGTCAGCGCTGACAGGACGCCACAGGCAAGTCTGTCAGTATGCGGTGCATACTAGAACATTATGACTTTTTCCTGGGGGGGGGGTCAGCTGCAGTTTACTACCATTTACGGTTTACTGATTTCATTTTAGGACATATGCCTAAGTGGAACTGAAGGAGGAATAAAAAGAACACTTACTTCAGAATCAGACTGCAGTGACAATCCAGAGTAGTGCAGCAGCTGTGCCAGACCGGCGGGATTTTTTTGGCGTTGTTCCACCGCTGTCCTTCTGCACTCGCTCCCGCAGGTGACTCAGAAAGGCCGAGCACTCCCGAGGTGGCTGCCAACGTGGGTTAGTTATAGCAAAATGCATGAGAGACAGTTCTGTCTTCCCATCTTCTGCCTGCTGGTACACAGAGGCCTCGGTTTTTCCTGCCGACATCCACTGCAACAAGAGGAAAGACACATAGAGGGAGATTTACTAAAACTGGAGCACACAGAATCTGGTGTTGCTGTGCATAGAAACCAATCAGCTTCCAGTTTGTATTGTCCAAGTTTAAGGCTACTTTTACAGTGAAAAACACATAGGCGTTTTTACCGCGCTTTTGCCGTGCTTTCTGGCGTTTTTAAAGGACGCGTGAATGAAAAACTGCACCAAAAACGCTTCTCAGAGGTGTCCTTGAGGTGCTTTTCAGGCGTTTTCCATTAATTTCAATGGGAAGAGGCGTTTTTTTTTAACCACTACAAGTCCGGACACTTTCACCCCCTTCCTGTCCAGGCCAATTTTCAGCTTTCAGCGCTATCACACTTTGAATGACAATTGCGCAGTCATGCAACACTATACCCATATGAATTTTTTAGCATTTTTTTTAGACAGATAAAACTTTATTTTGGTGGTATTTATTCACCACTGGGATTTTTTATTTTTTTTTGCTATATAAATGAAAAAGTCCAAAAATTTTGAAAAAAAAGTGTTTTTTTCTTCTTATTATTATTACTTTTATTATTACACAGGATTTATATAGCGCCAACAGTTTGCTCAGTGCTTAAGCGCTTATAAAATTTTGCAAAGAAATAATCTTTCTTCATAAATCTTGGCCAAAATGTATTCAGTTACTTTTTAGTAAAAAAATAACCCAAATTAGTTTATAACCAAAAATTATAATTTTAATAAAAATTTTTTTACATTTTTATTTTATTTTTTTCTATTATTATGTGTTTTTTTTTGTATCATACTGTCACCCTAGCAGTACAATGTCACCATAGTGACACTACTACTTGGGGGGTGATGAAGGTTATTTTTTTTTTACACTGATTGCTTTTACACCTGTAAAGGCTGTAAAAGCAATAATTTCTCCTTCTCTCTGACTGCATTCCTGCAGCCATTGAGAAATACTGTGAGAGCTGTGATTGGTCACAGCTTGTCACATGGTACAAGGCTGTTGTGAATAGCCCTGTACCATGTGACCTCTGTGATCAATCACAGATTTTACAAGTAGTAAGCAATGATGTCAGAAGTGTCATACTTACTACTATTCATGTGATCACTGATTGGCCGATCAGTGATCACATGATCGGGACCTCACACAAAGGTCTAATACAGAGATCGGTGTTCCACTGTGGACACAGAGGTCACAGCGGGCACCGGATCGCGGTTCTGTGCGCTCCCAGGGAGCGCGCACAGTCCATAATGGCAGGTGCTGTTTAGGAACGGCAACCCACCCCTGGAGTGCCACCGTCCCGTCGTTTGTATAAAGCGGCCAGGCGGGAAGTGGTTAAAGAATAAGTAAAATTTTGTGGGGAAATAAATATCCCAGGGAGTGCACACAGGCTGAAAATGTGGGCGCCGTTTATGAATGGCAACCCGCTCCTGCACTGCTCCCGTCCGGCCGTTTATGTACATGAGCCAGACTGGAAGTGGTTAACTCACTAATCATGCCCCAAAGATGCTGCAAGCAGTTTTTACACCGCACCGCAAGTGCAACTCCTAACAAAACATACATAAATATACATTCACATACACAGGGAAGCGTTTTTCTTGAGCTTTTCAGACGCTTTTTTTTAACGCAAAAACGCTTCAAAAACTCCTCAGTGTGAAAGTAGCCTAAGGCCAGCCATACATGGGTTGATTTTCAAACAATTTTTAGTTCGAAAATCGGACCTAAGAATAAATCGGGCGATTTTCACTCTGTTAGTGGGGTAATGGCACCGCCGATTTTCGTGGCTCCTCCCCATTTCGTTTATCGGGCATGCTGGCAAAATTTGTGAAAAACGGCCGATTTTCTAAATCATTCGTGGCACCATCGGATTACGTAATGAACGATGTTTTTGATCGAAAAATCATTCAGAATTCGACCCATGTATGGTCTGCTTAAATGAACAAGCTGAATTTGGAAGCAGATTGGTTATTATGCACAGCTGCACCCAATTTACGTAGAACTGAACAGACATGTTTTTTTTACAACCAAAACGACATGAAAGGGCCACAAGGGAGATCTCAGAGATCTTTGTTATTCTATATAGGCTTTAATAGGGCTACAATGCTTTATAAGATGCTTCTGTTCTGTGCACTCCATGTATTCTTCTAGGTCAGGGGTAGGTATGCAACCTGTGGCTCTCTAGCTGTTGTGGAACTACATTTCCCATGAGGCATTGCAAAGATTACAAAACTGACAGTTACAGCTATGACTTGCAGAGGCATGATGGAACTTGTAGTCCTGCGGCTCTCAGGTTGCCTACCCCTGGTCTAGGAGATGAGTTCAAGGGATTCCCATCTATAATCTATATCAGTTCAGGACTGCACACTTACGGCGGGATTGCCATGCTGGCGGACATCCATTTGTGCAAATGAACAGGTGTCTCCGACGCCCACCACCTCAACTGTGAAATTCCTGAAGAAGTCAATGATCTCTAATGACTTGGGGCGCAGTTTGAATATCAGAACAAGGGGGGTGAGCAGCGGGCTGAGGAGCTCCTCCAGAATGAAGACCTGAAAATGTGAACAATAAAGTCAATCAATCACTGACCCACAAGTACTATGCAGTAAATCGCTGTGCTAAAGTGAACCTGTTGCTTTGCACATGCAGGCTTCCCCACTTACCTCCACTTCCCTGCTGCTCCATTGCTGCCAAGAGCAGGAAAAGCCACCTTGGGTATACTAAAAGGCATTCAAAGTCATAGCTTACACAGCTCTATGGACTCTTCCCATGTCACAGTGCTGTTTTGTCCAGAGCTGTCACATGGACGGAGTCACATGCTTCTCCATTCCCAGAAGTACTGGGTATTTTTTTCACTTCTGGTAGAATGAAGGGGAATGACAGGTGATGGAAACAATCATGCAAACCTTTTACTTATGTCCATATAGGCAAAGCACCGGTTTACTTTAAAGTGATATTAAAAGGGAATTATTTTTTTTGTTTTTAATAACAAACATGTCATACTTACCTGCTCTGTGCAGTGGTTTTGCACAGAGCAGCCCCAATCCTCCTCTTCTTGGGTCCCCCACAGGAGCTCCTGGCCCCTCCCTCCTGCTAAGTTTGCTACGGGGGCACCCAAGCAGACTCGCTCCTGAGCCACTGTTCTGCGTGTCTATTCACACACAGAGTGCGGCTCAGCCCCGCCCCCTGCTCTCTCCTCATTGGCTCGCTAGCTGTGATTGACAGTAGTCCCACTGCTATCTCAGCCAATGAGGAGCGACAGTCCCAGAAGAGATGCTGCTCTTGTGCACATTGCTGGATCGTAATCTGGCTCAGATAAGTATTAGGGGTGGCCAGGGGGGACTGCTGCACACACAAGGTTTTTCACCTGCATACATAACATGCATGAAGGTAAATAAAACCCTGAGCCTTTACAACCACTTTAACCCCTTGACGCCGAGAGCACGCAAATATGCGGCCTCTGGGTGTCAAGGCCCAGTCACCCAGAGACCGCACATTTGCGTGCCATTAGAAAATACATATGTGCTGAGAGCGTGCGCCCTGCGCGCTCCCAGCACATATGTCCGTGACTCACGGAAAGGTCCCGATCTCCCCTTCCCAAACGCCTGTCTAACGCCTGTCAAACGCTATAAGGGGCGTTTGGCAAGTGTTAGAAATGAGTCAAGTGTGAACGAACCCTTCGGATAACACTCACCGCCTTGTACTGGAAAAGCTGTGCAAACTCGCTGCGGGTCTCGGCCCGGTGAGCGCTGCGCTGCCAGTGGTCAGGCATATAGTGGATATGAGCCAGGATCACTTTTAGGAGCTGCTCTGGACAGAAGACCATGTGCTCTTCTGGGATAAATGATCTGAAAGAAGAAAGCTATCATGAGTTCACATGTCATCATGCCATCGTGAGGCACAGAATATAATTGGATACTAACATTTATAGGTAAAGTTGATCCAGGGAATATCCGATTGCCTCTCGGGGGATCAGGAAGGAATTTTGTTTCCCCTGCAGGAGCAAATTGGATCATGCTTTGCTGGGTTTCTTTGCCTTCCTCTGGATCAACTGTGGGTATAGGATTGTGTATATACAGTAGGATTGTATTTTTTTTTTTTTCCTTTTATTGGTTGAACTAGATGGACTTGGGTCTTTTTTTCTAACAGACTATGTAACTGTGTCGAATATCAAACTCCTGCTTTGATTTCAGAGGACAAATTAAAGCGGAGCTCCACCCAAAAAGGGGAGGTCCACTTTAAGGCCTGCTCCCCCGCTCCCCATTAAGGATTGGCACCTTTGGGGGGAGGGAGCGGGTACCCGAATTTGACAGGTACCCGCTCCCACTTCCGGTTCGGAAACTAAAGGTGTCCTCCTTCCCTCTCTGTAGTCTTGTGGGACACATGACAGGTCCCAGAAGACTACAGGACCATTCATGAAGCGTAGCGCTACTCACGCATGCGCAGTGGGTACCCGGCTGTGAAGCCGCAAGCTGTCACAGCCGGGTGTCCACAGTGAAGATGCCGGCCTCCTGGAATACAGGACGGCTGGTGAAACAGGCTCTGGGGGACACACCACGGGACCGAGGGATAGGTAAGTGGCTCTTTTTTAAAAGTCAGCAGCTACAGTTTTTGTAGCTGCTGACTTTTATTTTTTGACAGCGTGAGTGGAACTCCGCTTTAAATTTAGGTTTGTGTAGCCAAACTGAATTTTCTATTTTTATTCCTGGAATGCAGTCAGGCTGCATAACAGTAATTTATTTCTGCTGTACATGTCAGTGGTTTTTATTTTTAACATAATAGTTTGCCTCTGTTAAAATACCTTGTGCTCAACACAGTGCAGCGCTCAAGATCTCCAGCATACCCTCTGCACAGTGCTCTGATCAACAATGCTCATTCTCCCTGAACATGGGCTGTGTTAGAACACTATGCAGTGGATGTGTCAGAACCGCTAAAGATCCGGATTGCTTTGCTCTACATCAGTGGTTCTCAACCTTCCTAATGCCACGACCCTTTAATACAGTTCCTCATGTTGTGGTGACCCCCCAACCATAAAATTATTTACCCAGTAATTATAAGTCATGAGTGTCGTTTTACCTCCAATACTGCTGCTTTCAACACAGTAGCTGCTTTCTACACAGTAGCTGCTTTTAACAGAGTAGCTGCTTTCTACACAGTAGCTGCTCTTTACACATCGGAAATATGTGTTTTCTGATGGTCTTAGGGGACCCCTGTGAAAGGGTCGTTCGACCCCCAAAGGGGTCATGACCCACAGGTTGAGAACCACTGCTCTACATTGAGCCCAGGGGTCCAGGTTGCTGCAGACATAGGGAAATTTAGCAAAGGCTGCAGCACATTAAAATAAATAAATAAAAATGCCGGCACATTCAATTTCTGAATTGGTAATTCACATTTGCAAAGGAAAAAAAAACATGCTCTTCACATATAAAAAGCCATTGACATCCCAGTCCTGTCTGTGAGCAGCGTCCGCTCAATGCACTCAGCTCTGGCGCTGACAGATGGTGTAGTCACATCCGGAAACCGTGTTGGATTGCACCGGCCTCGCCGGGAAGGGGGGGGGGGGGAGATGACGTCGCGATGGGAGGGAAGCAGGGCATGGCTATGCGTTTCGGAGCATGCAAACTCCTTTCTCAAGCCATGCTTGGATACGCGCAGCCACGTCCAGCTTCCCTCGAATCCTGACGTCATCTCCTCCCGGTCAGGCCGGGGCATTTCAGCGAGGTTCTGGAGGCAACTACACTGTCAGAGCCAGCGCCGAACACATTGAGCAGATGTCACTCACAGAGACGGGCTTCTTATTTGTGAAGAGTGAGGTTTTTTACCTTGTAAATGTGAGCTGTCAATTGTGACTTTCACTAATAAACTTGTCCTAATACCACATTTAGAGGATACTCGCCCTTTTTTTAACGTTTACAGAGACTGCTTCTACTTTTGGGTCAGCAGCCATAAGTGTAATGGACGATTGAGACTTTTAGGCCCCATGTACAGGGGACACTTTTGAACGATGGAAACTGACTGCTGGAAAATGTAGGTTAAAAAAACATCTGTTTAGCCGCGTTTGCATAATGCGTTTATGTGCGTTTGCGTCTAGAACTGTTTTTTAAAGATAACCTCAGGAGAACCTTCCAAATGCCCAGAATACACTGAAAAGTGGTAAATTGTTAACCATTTCAGACTGTTTCAGAGAAATACAAAGAGTGGAAGCAGAGACAGCAGTATGGGTTGAGATAATTAGGTGTGAGTTGCTTATTAACATTTCTTTTGTTTCCAAGGGTGGGAAAGGTAATGTATATAAATAGAAATAGAAAAAATACGAGCGCTGGATAATCAACCAGAGAGCGGCTAGCATGAAAGGCAAATACCAGGAGCCTCAAAAGTAATATATATCAAACAACCATGCAGCGCTAATACGTACAATGATGCATGCAAATAATCATTTGGTGCAGGTAATAACTAGTAAAGTGAACACCATTTAATATTAGAAAGGATCTTAAGAATTATCTAAAAAGTCCAGGAATACTAATGATGGTGAAATATAAATCTTTCAACAAGAGTGTTCTTGCATAATACATAAAAAATTTTAGGACAATAAGGTGACACAATATGTGACTTCTGTGACCATATTCCTCCCGCAGAAATGAGTGTAGATTGCACTAACCAGAGAGCGCAATCTTAATGCGCATTTGAGTGTTAACCAACTCCTGGTCATAGCCGGATGACCAGGAGTTGGTTAACACTCAAATGCGCATTAAGATTGCGCTCTCTGGTTAGTGCAATCTACACTCATTTCTGCGGGAGGAATATGGTCACAGAAGTCACATATTGTGTCACCTTTTTTGTCCTAAAATTTTTTATGTATTATGCAAGAACACTCTTGTTGAAAGATTTATATTCACCATCATTAGTATTCCTGGACTTTTTAGATAATTCTTAAGATCCTTTCTAATATTAAATGGTGTTCACTTTACTAGTTATTACCTGCACCAAATGATTATTTGCATGCATCATTGTACGTATTAGCGCTGCATGGTTGTTTGATATATAAGGGTGGGAAAGGTGTCTGGTGGAGGGAGTCATTAAGGCCACCTGGCAGGGGGTCTTCCTGAGGAATTGGAGGTGTGAATGGTCATTAACATATCTTTTGTTTCCAATTCTGGGAGAGGTCTGAGGTGTGAATTGGTCATTGCAATCTTGGTAGGAACATCCTGTGTTCAGTATTTTGTCCATCTGAGTACTTTGAAAACACTGCATGCATTTTTCATGATGAAAAAAGGCTCTGGACAGCATCAGGTTAAAAAAAAAAAAAATTTCAAACACAAACGCTTATAAATGCAATTTGCTGCGTTTACAAGCGTTTTGCGTTTGAAACGCTGATAAAACCGACTGCTGAATGCAAGTTTTCTGCGTTCAAAAAAAAACGACTGTAAACTCAAATGCCTGTAAACGATGTGTACATGGACACATAGGAAAACATTAGGAAGAGTTCAGGGGCTGCTGAAAAAAACACTGAACAGATCCTAAACGTGAGTTTATCTGCTGCAGTGTACATGAGTCCTTAGAGACGTCATGCTGAATTTTTAATTATACTTCCTGGCAGGGCCTGTTGTATCTCTATGCACCATTCACGTCTCACATTCTTTTGTTAGTAGTTAGTTACATTTAATTGGATTTGATCTGTAATGCTGAAGACATTTTGCAACTTACCCAAGCCACTTCTTCAGTTCAGTTCCTCACTCAGACTACGTAATTACTATCAGCTATACCATGATCGCAATAAATGAGAACCTGCGCAGCAATAATCTTTTACGGTTTATGCAGACTAACTGCATTACAGTGATAAAAATATAGAGAGTTCACAGGGCTTTAAAATCACCCACTCCATGTGGCTGTGGCTTTAGTTCTATGCCAGAATTTAGCCTAAGGCTCCATGTACACGGGACGTTTGGGAAACACTTCTGAACGATGGAAACTGACTGCTGGAAAACGTAGGTTAAAAAACGTTTGTTTAGCCTCGTTTGCATACCGCGTTTATTAGCGTTTGCATTTAGAAGCATTTTTTAGAGATAACCTCCGGAAACCTTCCAAAATGCCCAGAATGCACTGAAAAACAGTAAAAAAATTAACTATTTCAGACATTTTGAGAGAAAATAGAGAGAGCAGAAGCGGAGAGAGTAGTATGTGTTGAGATTAGCTGTCTTTTTTTTTTTTGTGGTTTTTGGATGTGTTCCGGCTCCTTTCTGTGCAGAAATTATTGCAGCAGTGTCTAACATATTTTCTTTCATGCGAAACCTCAAAGTATGGTGTACCGGGTCCATTTGAGTACCGGGAAAACGCTTTGCATGCATTTTTTCATGATGAAAAAAAGGCTCTGGACAGCATCTGGAAATGGAAGAGTTAAAAACATTTTCCAAACTCAAACACTTATAAACGCGGTTAGCCGCATATAAAAGCGTTTGGCGTTTGAAACGCTGATAAAATATACTCCTGAACGCAAGTTTGGTGTGTTGGCATTTTTCAGGGGGGCCCCGAGAGAAGGGATGGAAGAAGGGACACACGCGGCGGGGGGACCAGGTGGGATCTGAGAGATGCTGCGGGCTGCTTGATGGCGTATGCAGAGCCTGACTCTACTTCCTGGGGATGTCCGGAGCTGTGAATGTGAGGGTCTTTTCTCATGAGGTGGGGGGGGGGGGTTGCCAGTGTATGGGGGGTGGTGGTAGTAGAATGCTCTCTCGGGTGGGCGCTGGGGTGTTGTTGGTTGGTGTCAGGGTCCCTCCATGGGGGGGAGCCGATTTTTGTGTTGCCTAGAGCAGCAGTAAACCTAAATACACCACTGTACATACAGCTGAGGTTTACTAACCTGCAGATGGTCACAACAACTCCAAGTAGTGTCACCATGCTCAGTACATGTTCCACAGCAAGCACGTCTTCATCATACACCGTGAGCGCAATCAGCACCGCCAGAACAGAGCCCGCCAGGAATCCCATGTGTTTGGCCGCCACAGCCAAAAGTGGAGACAGGAAGCAGTTCATGTACTTGCTGGCGGGCTTGTATGCTCGGCTCAGCCTTGCCTGCAGCTGGTGGTCCAACTCATTAAAGTGGCGCAGGTAGCAGCGGCCATACAGAGACCAACATCGGGCCCCGAGACTGCCAGGTTCCCGACGAAGCACCTCAGTATAGCTGAAGAAGGCATAGAGGATCTGCCAGACCAATACAAGAGGGCAAAGTAACAGGTTGGCAAGCCCTATCCAAAGAATACGTTGGGAAAGTTTCTCCGCCAGCTCCAGGCGTGATCCTGCACGCTTGTACTCGGGTTTTAAGCTCCACTCATTCTGGAACAGGCAGCCGGGGCCCCAGAAGAAGATAAGCTGAAAGTTGTACTTTAGGCCCCGGGTATAGAAGATGGAGTCGCCCAGCAGGGGCATCCTATGCTGCAGTGGTAGCAGATTCTTATTAATCATGGCCACCATGTAGTTCTTGAAGCGTAGGATTCGATGAGAGACATCTAACTCTGAAAGCTCCTTTTTATGAACGCAGATCTGATGCTCCTTCTGGATCTGAACAATTCTGCTCTGGACTTCCTCCCAAGTGTAATAGGGAAGATCACCCTGTAGAGAGCAAGATTTAACAGTGAGATGGCGTATAAATGTAAAGGTAGAAGCAGTGTATTTTCATTCAGCACATTTTTTTGCATTATTACTGCAGTGGTTTTCGCTTTTTTACATGTTTGATTTCCCAGATTTATAGACCATCCACCAGCAGTGGAAAGTGACCCCAGGGGCGTCCCTAGGGTTGGTGTCACCTGGTGCGATAACACTTGGTGACACCCCCTCAGACGATCCCCGCAGAATGGATCGGATCTGCGGATTGAGCATAATGGACCGGACTCCGATCCATTATGCTCCCCAATCCGCAGATCCGATCCATCCTGTGGGGATCGTCAGCTTGCTTTACAACTTACCTTTTCGTGGAGCGGGTCCGGTGTCACCCCGTATAGGCTGCATGTCGACGATCCCCGCAGGATGGATCAAATCTGTGGATTGAGCATAATGGATCGGAGTATGATCCATTATCCTCCCCAATCCGCAGATCTGATCCATCCTGCGGGGATCGTCGGCATGCAACCTATACGGGTTGACACCGGACCTGCTCCACGAAAAGGTAAGTTGTAAAGCAAGCCGACGATCCTCGCAAGATGTATCGGATCTGCAGATTGGGGAGCATAATGGATCAGAGTCCGGTCCATTATGCTCAATCCGCAGATTCGATCCATCCTGCGGGGATCGTCGGCATGCAACCTATACGGGGTGACACCGATCCCACTCCACGAAAAGGTAAGTTGTAAAGCAAGCCGACGATCCCCACAGGATGGATCTGCGGATTGGGGAGCATAATGGATCGGAGTCCGATCCATTATGCTCAATCCACAGATTTGATCCATCCTGCGGGGATAGTTGGCTTGCTTTACAACTTACCTTTTTCGTGGAGTGGCTCCAGTGTCACCCCGTGCGCTACCCCCCGCACCTGCCTAGGGACGCCACTGAGTGGCCCTGCCTCAAAAAAGTGAAGATAAGCCATCTTAAATGAAACATCTAAAAGTGTTAATTGTGCATAAGCAGTACCCTCTCTACCCTACTGTCTTAGATTCTTCCTGAAAAAAAGCAGTGCGCTTTCTATAGCGATGTATCTCAGAGGCGTAACTAGAACCTTCAGGGCCCTGGTACAAAAAACCATAATGGGCCCCCCTGACCCCTGGCTGGGGCCCCCTACGGTGGCGAAACACCAGGGCCTGGTAGCAAGTGTGACCTTTGGGACCCTGGTAGTTCCGCCACTGGTGTCAGTAGTTTTTTATTTTTTTGATTCTTTTATTACCATTTTATTTTATTTATTCATTTGTTTACAAATTTTATTTTTTACATTTTTTAGGAGCCCTGTTGGGGGCTTTGGTGAAATATCAGGGGTCTAAACAGACCTTTGATGTTTCACCTTTGAGACAGAGTAAGGAGATTGAAGACACAGCCCTCAATCTCCTTCACTGCACAGAATGAATGGACAGGAATAGCTCTGTACAGAGGCTTCCTGTTCATTCACAAAATTAAGCATAGTAAACACAGTTTACTATGCCTCAGTTTTGAATGAACAGAGTCTGTTATCAGTACGGATCACTCACCATTCATTAAGACAAGGAGGGGGCTGGTAAATGACTCATTTACTGGCCCTTCCCTGCTCTCCATCCTGACAGATCCCCTGCAACAGCCGGCGGGAGGGGGGGGGGGACTCGGCAGCACTGCAGGGGATGAGGAGAGCTGGAGGAGTATACAGGAGCCCGATCAACGTAAGAGATGGATAGAAGGGGCGGCATCAGGTGCGGACTGACCATTTGGAAACTCGGGCACTGCCCGAGGGCCGGAGGTCAGTAGGGGGCCCCATGAGATGCCCCTGGTACCTTTTTCATAGGCTTTTTTGAGTTTGGGCAAGGACACAGGGGCCCCATGATCCCCTATTGCCCGGGGGCCCCATGAGTTGTCAGTCCACCCCTGGGCGGCATGTAGAGGAACCAATCTCCTCCATTTTCCATCTGCAGCTGCTGAAAGGCTTCAGGACAAAAATGGAGGGGATCAGTTCTTCTATATGCCACCCCTCCTCTCCAGGTGTTCAGGAGGCCGCACAGACCCCCTGGAGCATATGGTCAGATCACAATTGCGAACCCTATGACCCCTGTTCATACGCCCGTGGTATATCTGCAGCATGAGAACATCTGGACCACTGTTGCCTTTGGCTGCGAATCTGAGGCGATGTGGAGTGAGATTTGGTGATACTGTGCTGCTGTTTTCTTGCTGGTGAGGAGGTTGTACTCAACAGCCTGCAGTGCAAGGATCTCCCTGCATCTGCTTCATCCTTTATGTGGACCTATGCTTCTTGCATCTCTCCTTCTGCTTCCTGACTATTCCCCCACCAGTTATCAGATTACCAGTCATTAGGGGACAGCTCTGATATGAGAAAGCAAAATCCTTCTCCAGACATGGCATGATAATTCAGTAATGAGGAAAAGAGCAGCTGAAGGGGACTGCAGACAATATTGGTAACTAATTCTTTGCCCAGAGCCTTTTTGGGCACTACTTTCACAGTTCAGGTCCTCTTTAACAGCTGTTGAGATAAAATATCAGCTGCAAAGAAGTATATTGTTTTAATTAGTCAGCAAACTCGTAGATATGCAATGTGATGGTGACAGCAAAGCATAACCATTGTGTAACCTTTACTACCAAACCCACAGATTGAGACTCAAGTATTTTTGTGATGGATTACCAGAGTCTCTGGAACCCTTCTCCTTCCACATTTATATTATTGCACTTGGGTTTTGGGATATTTGAAACTGTGAAGCACTGTACAAGCAGGATTTTGCTGCTCCCATCTTTTTTTATAGTTATTATTATTATACAGTATTTATAAAGCGCCGATAGTTCGCTCAGCGCTGTACATTACAAAGGGGGACAGAACATGTGACAGAACAATACCAATACAATGCAAAACATGAGGGGATCGAGGGCCCTGCTCTTTGGAGCTTACAATCTAGGAGGGAGGGGATAGTGGTACAGGAGGAGATAGCTGTGGGGGATGGAGTGGTAGGAAGAGTGGAGGAGGTCGGCAAGTTAGCAGGGGGTGGGGTAGGCTTCCCTGAAGAGATGGGTTTTCATTGTGCGCCTAAAGGAGAGGAGAGTAGGTGATAATCTGATGGGTTGGGGCAGGGAGTTCCAGAGGATGGGTGACACCCTGGAGAAGTCCTGGAGTCGGGCATGAGAGGAGGAGACCAGGGAACTAGAGAGAAGGAGGTCTTGTGAGGAGCGGAGTGTGCGTGCTGGGCGGTACTTGGATATTAGGTCAGTGATGTAGTTCGGGGCAGTGTGGTGGACGGCTTTGTACGTCAGTGTTAGGATTTTGAATTTGATCCGTTGCGCAATCGGAAGCCAGTGGAGGGATTGGCAGAGGGGGGTGGCGGAGACGGAGCGGTTGGAAAGGTGAATGAGTCTGGCTAGTTTTTTTTTTTTATTTCAGTAGTTTAATTATTATACAGGATTTAGTTTAATGATTTCTAATAAGAGATAAAAATTGTAAAAAAAAACTGTTTCAGAGATTTGAAAAGGAAATGTATAATGCAAAATATGTAAAAATAATATTGGCCGGAACGCACCATAGGAATACGTAGAGCCTGTATGTAGAAGTTATAGATCTCCCAGTAGCAGCAGATATTGTATATAAATTTAATAAGTCTGTGAATCCAGAAGACACCAGCAATCACCAGGAGAGAAGTGAGAAACCAATTCTCTTGTATCCTGAGGAGATAATGAAGACAATCATAATCAAGGGTTAATCACTGGGAGTGAAAAGGCAAAATATGTTTACAATTTTATGTGACATCTCTGTATTCATATACAGAGGCATATCAGATTGCAACATATAATGAGTAGAAAGCGACTTGTTCATTCAATACACTTGAAGTTATTGTGATAGCTGTCAGTTATTTATATATGTATTTTATGGAAGTACTGTATATAACAGTATTTCTATTTATTGTGTCCAATATGATTATTGCATATGTAATCTTTATTTTACTTTATTTAATATACAGGCGTACCTCGGTTTACGAATTTAATGCGTATTGCAAAAAATTTGTAAACCGAAACGTGGTTTCCTATAAGAATGCACTGAAAACCAATTAATCCGTTCCGGAGGTCAGAAAAAAAAGTAAAAGAAAAAAGTCTTTTATCTGTTCAAAACTCTTTATAAAGCGCACTTTAAAATTCATAAATACTGTACAGGGACAGGATTAAAAATTAATTCGGAAATGCATTGAAACCAGTTAATCTGTTTGTATTTCGAAAAAAAAAATCATAAATGCATTGAAAACCAATTAATTCGTTCCAGAGGTCAGGAAAAAGTCTATCTGTTCAAAACTCTTTATAAAAAAGGGCACTTTAAAAGGCATAAATACTGTACAGGGTCATGATTAAAAAAAAAATAAAAATTTGTAAATGCATTGAAAACCAATTAATCCGTTCGTATTGCGAAAAAAAATTTGTAAACCTAGGCATTATTTTCAATGGATTTTCATTCGTAAACCAAAAATTATGTTAACCGAGGCGTTTTTAAACCGAAGTACACCTGTAATATTATATATAGTTGTGCTCAAAAGTTTGCACACCCTGGCAGAAATCATGAAATTTTGGCATTGATATTGAAAATATGACTAATTATGCCAAAAAAACTGTCTTTTATTTAAGGATAGTGGACATATGAACTGTCAAAAGACCTGCGTAACAAGGTACTGGAACTTTATAAAGATGGAAAAGGATATAAAAGATATCCAAAGCCTTGCATATGCCAGTTGTTTAATCACTTGTCTCTATTGTATTATAGCCCTGATGAAGAGGGATCTGCGCATGACCCTGGAAACGCATCAGCGTTTTCACTTTTTCACATACCCTTTTATTGTAAAAAAAAAAAAAAAAAACCAAAACAAAAAAAAAAAAAAAACACATCTAAAAACAATCAAAATAATCCCTACAGCTTGGCACTTTCATCATTTCTTTCTATACAAAAAGACCAATACTTAGAAACAACCCTTGGTTCACTAAGGCATTCCTTCGGAGATCAGGAAATTATTTTCCAGTTCATCCAGGTAATGTAAATTGTCTTATACTATGCAGCCACATATTGAAGCAGTGATGGAGCATCACAAAAGGATTTGTATAACCTTGCATGTGTTTTGTGTGTTAACCAATTGCCTACCGGGCACTTTCACCCCCTTGCTGCCCAGGCCGATTTTCAACTTTCAGTGCTGTCACACTTTGAATGACAATTGCACAGTTATGCAACACTGTACCCATATGAACGTTTTATAATTTTTTTCAACCAAATAGAGCTTTGTTTTGGTGGTATTTCATCACTGCTAGGGGGTTTTATTTTTTGGAATACAAATAAAAAGACAAACATTTTGAAAAAACAAAACCAAAAAAAAAAACAAACAAAAAAAGTTTTTCCTAGTTTCTATTATAAAATTTTGCAAACATGTAATTTTTCTCCTTTGCTGATGAGCGCTGATGAAGCTCCACTAATGGACACTGATAAGCAGCACTAATAGGTTGCACTGATGGGCACTGATGAGGCAGCACTGATAAGCAGCACTGATGGGCATTGATGAGGCAGCACTGGTGAGCACTAATGAGGCTGAACTGACAGGCGGCAATGACGGGCACTGATAGGCGGCAATAACGGGCACTGATAGGCAGCATTGATGGGCACTGACAGGCGGCATGGATGGGAACTGATAGGCGGCACGTATAGGTGGTACTGATTGTCAGCCCTGATGGGCACTGACTGGTAGAACTGATGGACACTGACTGGCATTGATAGGCAGCACTGACGGTCACTGTTGGGGCTGCACTGATAGCCATGGCACTGATAATCAGTGCCCTGATTATCAGTGTAGATGTCCCCTTTCACACTTGCCGGTTATCGGCAGTACTTTCCTCATGCTGTGACAGCGTGAGGAAAGTACTACCGATCACTGACAAGTGTGTTTACATCGTGGTCAGCTGTGATTGGACACAGATGATCACGTGGTAAAGGGCTGCTGTGATTGGCCTTATACCGTGATTTGTGATCAGCTGTATTCGATGGACACAGCAATCACGGAGAGTGCCGGATGCGCTCCGTAGCGAGGGGGGTGCGGTTCTGGGAGGACATCAACAGACACCCTCCCAGAACTGTACGACCACGCTGTAGCTGTCATTCGACTATAGAGCGGTCAACAAGCAGTTAAAGTGGTTGTAAACCTCAGACATGAAATATGAAAAAAGCATATCCCTCTATAGTGTGTACTTGTCTTAACCTCCTCGGTGGTCTGATTATTTCAGATTTTTGGTGCTGAAAGCGGTACCATTTTTTTGCATGGAAATATGTAGTTTTTTTATTGTAGGCTGTAATTTTTAGGAATAACTCACTGAAATCTGTCCGAACAAGAGTCTAGTAAACATCCCGGGGAGGATAAAATTTAAAACACGAAATCATAAATTATAATTTAATAAATAATCATAAAAAATAATAATATAATAATAATACATTTAATTCAATAATATAATCAAACCAAAAACACTGAAATGTGAAATAGAGCGCCAAGTTCGCACATCACTGAGCAAAGTCGCAAAATCGTTTTCAGTGTCTGATGACGAATTTCCCCCACAAATCATTATCACTCAATCCTGCAAGTGGTTCTGATTTACTATTCGCTGTTCTCTAGCCGGTCTAAAACCACTTTTGACCTAAAGGGACGCTTTTTGGACACCATGGACGTTTCTCAGTTTCCAGGCAGAAAGAACAGACAAAATGCAGGCAGGGCACAGGACAAAGCACTCGGGACAAAATGTATGTGAAATGGGTTGAAACAGCAATGTTTTACTATGTAAAATTTGTTTGAAAAAAAATGACATTATTTAAAACTTTCAAATTTCCCGCCACCGGTGGCGCTTGTACGTCCCGACGTCACAGGGACCGGAACACAGAAGCCAGCATCGGCCGGAGGAGATGGCCGGGGACGCTGCAGGGGACACATCGCAGGAGCGAAGGACAAGGTAAGGGAATCCCTATGTAGTGCCGCATGGTAAGCCCGAGTGTAGCTCGGGGTTACCGCTTTTGATACTGAAACTTTACCCCGAGCTACACTCGGGAATACCGCTAAGGAGGTTAATCCAGAGCACGAAGAATAATTTCTGCCTGCTGTCTCCTTCCTCTGCTATTAGCATAAATCTCTTCTGACAAGTTTTCCTGACACCAAATGAAAAAAAGGTGGCAGGGGAGGGAGCTCCAGCACACAGCCCGTGATTGACAGCCTCAGTTCTGCTCCTGTGAATTATGTGAAAGGGGGGGGTGTCCCTTCCCTTTAATCAGCCCTCAGAGCTCTCATCACTGATCTCTGCAGAGTGTGATCTCAGCTCTCTGCCCCTTGTTTTCTGATAGCTCAGACACGTTTTTTAAATTCTGCACTTTTGAATGGATGTAGATTAGAGAAGACTGCAGATAAAATAGTTACAACTCATGAAGGATTTGCTTCATCTCTGTGTATCACTTGAGGCCAGTCACATCACTCACTATATGTAAGGGTTTGCAACCAGTTTAAATGTCATTCATTTAAACAAACTTCAAAGCTACCTTCAAACTACCTGTGAATTCCTATAACAGATAAACCTATTAGATGCAGGAGGGCTTGTAAACTAGGCAGGTTTTCTAAACTAATCTGCTTTATAAATGTGTTGAACACACTTTTTATATACAACCAGCAGTCAGACCATAGCGTTGCTTTATAACGTTTTCCCATAATGTCCGATGGATGGCCAGTCCATATAGAGCATGCTCCTGGGATTGCCAGCATTCTGCTCTATGGATGAGCCTGGCTCATCAGCATCTGCTTTACAGAAGAGAAGGTCAGGGTTGCCATACTCAGGGGTGGACTGACAACTTATGGGGCCCCCGGGCAATAGGGGATCATGGGGCCCCTGTGTCCTCACCCACACCCAAAAAAGCTTATGAAAGGTACCAGGGACATCCCATGAGGCCCCCTACTGACCCTGGGCCCTCGGGCAGTGCCCGAGTTCCCAAATGCTCAGTCCACCCCTGTACTCCATGTGCCAGGAGCTAGTTTCATCTATATCCAAGATTTATAATATTACTTTTAGCATGGCCGGGGAGGGGCTCTAACGTCAAGAGGCTCGATGGTTCCATACTGACACCAGCTGGCAATTTTAGGATTTTCACCACTGAAAAAAATCTGGAGGACACATTTTGTGCACAAAGCGGTTTATATACAGATTATATGTGAGTGCATTACTTTTATTAATAAAAAGGGATAATACACTACGATTTGATTAATTCCTCTATATCAACCACCATGGAAGGGGATCCCATCGATTGAGTGGAGGAGGACCCCAAACAACAAGATACCACCCCATTCATACTTTGGCCCATTTAAAAGGGACACAAGCGTTATATGACCTTACTTAAAGAGGGAAGTTCCGCTTTAAGGACTGCTCCCCATTAAGAATTGGCACCTTTGGGGGTGGGGGAGGGTACCAGAATCTGACAGGTACCTGCTCCCACTTCCGGGGCCTAGGCGACTGAAAGCGGAAAGTGTCCTCCCTCCCACCCTGTAGTCTTGTGGGACACGTGACAGGTCCCAGAAGACTACAGGACCATTCATGAAGTGCAGCGCTACTCACGCATGCACAGTGGGCACCCGGCTGTGAAGCCGCAAGCTGTCACAGCCGGGTGCCCACACTGAAGATGCCGGCCTCCTGGAATACAAGACGGCCGGTGAAACGGGCTGCGGGGGACACACCGCAGGACCGAGGGACAGGTAAGTGGCTGTTATTTAAAAGTCAGCAGCTACAGTTTTTGAAGCTGCTGACTTTTATTTTTGGCAGGGTGAGTGGAACTTGAGGTGAGAGCACAACCGGTGGGGGGAGCGCACTAATGCATGTTTTTCTCACACAAAATATCAATTAAGAAGCACAGGATATTGTATTCTACAGTGAACTATGCACATTTGAAGAAGTTCATATTTGGACCCCTTTTTTAGACTGTTTTTGACATTTATATGGACATTGCTATTGGTTGATTCATTTATTTTACCTTTATTTATTTGGAATGCATTATAAATAGCAATTGGATGCACATATTATTTATTGTAAGCTATTTTAAGTGAAGCGCGGCACATTTTTATAATTAGTATTCTTTTTTTTGTAAATCAAAAGATACCGGTCTTTGCAGACTCCAGGTGGTAGGAAGGCGTCAGGCAATGTCACTTTGTTGTTTTCGCTTTCTGCTGTGGTTCACCATCTTGTTTGCAAAGAGAATATCGTAATCAACACAGCTCACCAGGAAGGTTGTGAAACTAACCACAAAGATGAACTGCCTGCAAGAGAATGAGAATGAGAAGAGAACGTATATAGATCAGGAACACAAGGATAGGCACAGCCCATCGATCAAAAGCATGCTACCAATAAAGTTCCCAAAGCAAAAAAAAAAAAAAAAAAACAGAAAAAGGACAGAGATCCTAATGGCTACAATGGTGTCATTGACAAAACAAAAGTAGCTAAATACCTAAAACATACATACATTTATTACAGGTACTTATATAGCGCCGTCAATTTACGCAGTACTTTACATATATATAGTGTATCAATGCTCATAGTTTTGCAACGGCATATTTAACCATTTGACGCCCGGCCTATGGCCGAATGGCATCTGTAAAAATGTAATGCAGTTTGCGCGCTTGCAGAGCCGCGCAGCGACGCGAACTGTCACCGGCCGTGTACCTGACACGGCCGATGACAGATCTGAGTACCGGCCCCCGTTGCCGGTACCATGTGACCTGCTATGACCAATCACAGCATGTCACATGACAGTTGTATACAATGGATGGCTTCATTCATGCCATCCATTGTATACTAGTGTCTAGCTGTGGATGGTCACAGCTAATCACATGCACATGTCATGTGATTAGCTGTGGCCAAATCACAGCTAAGCACAAAAAAAAAAAAAAAAAAACCCTGAATGAATCGATGTCATTCAGGTAAATGCTTGCTTATAGCAAAGTAATCCTTTGCTATAAGCAAATTGTGTAAAAATAAATAAATAAATAAATACTGATCACTTCCCCAAAGTAGTACAATGTTACTGTGGTAATATTGTACTACTTTGGTCATAGTGAAATATGAAAAAACAATCTTAAAAAAAAAAAAAAAAAAAAAATTGTAATAAAAAATTAATATAAAATATATATATATATATATATATATATATATATATATATTTTTTTTTTTTTTTTTTTGTCCACACTGTCACCAGTCAGTGTCCCTGATCACCGCCATGCCAGTTATATGATGACGCTGTACTGCACTGGTGACAATATGTAAAAAATAGTGAAAATACTTTTTTTTTATTTTTTCATTTTCCGAAAAATTATGACAAAAAAATACAACTTCAAAAAACTCGCCATGCCTCTTATGAAATACGTCGGACTGCCTACTCTGCAAAACCTGGTCATTTGGGGGATATCTGTACTGTCCTGACATTTTGGGGATATCTGTACTGTTCTGACATTCTTGGACCTCAATAAATTAGATTGGCTGTCAGTACTTCAGGATTGATCGATATTCAGATCTATACCATAGTTTGTGAACTCTATAACTTTCCTACAAACTAAAAAATACATCCTAATTTGGGTAATTTTCACCAAAGACATGTAGCAGAATACATCTCGGCCTAAATTTATGAAGAACAATTATTTATTTGCAAACTTTTATAACAGAAACAAAGAAAAACGTGTTTTTTTTCACAATTTTTGGTCTTTTTTGTTAATTTAGCAAAAAACAAAAACCCCGGCGGTGATTAAATACCACCAAAAGAAAACTCTAGTTGTGTGAAGAAAATTATAAAATTTTAGTTTGGGTACAGTGTTGTATGACCGCTCAATTGTCATTCAAAGTGTGAGAGCGCTGAAACCTGAAAAATGGCCTGGGCAGGAAGGTGTAAAATTGCCCGGTATTGAATTGGTTAACAAACAGGTATATTGTAGGTGTGTAGGCGTGATGGTCAGGTGTCTACAAACGTTTGATCATATAGTGTATAATTGTTTGCGGTTTTGTAAGCAATTTTCTTTAAAAAAAAAAAGATGCAGATTTTACCATGTATGTGAAAAAAATTTTAAAATTGCACCCCACACAAAGTGATATTCAAATATTTCTATATTTTACCAGGCAGTAAATAAGATTTACAACAAGCTCTCACCGATCTAGAATTTATTTATTTATTTCAGGTAGTTATATAGTGCTGTCAATTTTATGCAGCTCTTTACATATATATTGTACATTCACATCAGTCCCTGCCCTAAGGTCCCTTAACTCACATCAATACACATATTAGGGCCAATAATAGACAGGAGCCAATTAACCTACCGGCATGTCTTTGGAGTGTGGGTGGACACTGGAGTACCCAGAGGAAACCCACGCAGGCACAGGGAGAACATGCAGACAACCCTACTATTGCCAGGTGGAAGTGCTAATCACTTCGTCAACAAGAGATGCAGTGAAGTAAAAAAAAAAAAGAAAAATCACATTTCTAGCACTCTTCCTGTTCACCACCTCTGTGTCTAAAATTTGAGGTTGGAAGGCTGACAAGCTGTTGGGAAGGAGGAGAAGGGAGAGATGAGCTGATGAGTCACTGCTGGGAGTAGTTTAATTTCAGCAAAACTGCTGAAATGAAACTGAAAATTAAATTTTGCTGTGAATGTTGAAGATGAATTACTCCACAGTATCTGCAGGTACAGAGGTCAGTCAGGTCCTGATTTAAAGTATATTGACTGCAAGTAAACACCGGAGTGTCCAAAACCTGGCCACAATTTATTCATTTCAGTTACTTATATAGAGCGGTCAATTTACTCAGCGCTTTACCTATATATTGTACATTCACATCAGTCCCTAACCCTCAAGGGGTGTACAATCTAAGGTCCCTAACACACAAACATACACATACTAGGGACAATTTAGACAGGATCCAATTCACCTATCAGCATGTCTTTGGAGTGTGGGTGGAAACTGGAGTACCTGGAGGAACCCCACGCATGCACAGGGAGAACATGGTGGTGCCGTGGTTGGGATTTGAACCAATGAATCTAGTACTGCCAGGCGGAAGTGCTAACCATTTAGCCACTGTGCTGCCCAACAGGAATGCAGATTTAGGGTGCGCAGCTAGAACAAAAGAACATCTGATTGATTTGTATTGACAACACTTATGCTTTCCGTGCTCTCGTTTGGACAACTTATTCCATTTTTTTAATATACAAAATAAAACATATCCTGCTCCACCTAATAATTGTACTTTATTTTCATCGGTTCATCCCCCACAGTTATTACCTTTTGTATCACTTGACCCTCCCTTTTAGATTGTAAGCTCTAATGAACAGGGCCCACTGATTCCTCCTGTATTGAATTGTACTGTAACTGTACTGTCTGCCCTCACTTTGTAAAGCGCAGCGCAAACTGTTGTCACTATATAAATCCTGTATAATAATAATAATAAAAAAACTGGAATGGCCTAAGAAGGATGACAAAAAAGCAAATAAAAAAAAGATGTAAAGAGAGACGAACTTACAATAACTCAAAGATCTCTCCAATCAGCATGCAGGTGAATCCATTCTTCTGGTGCAGGTTATACACCTGGAAGGCCGAGGTTAAGGATTATGCCGAGTGTACCATACAGTCCAGTGTAGGGGGTTTACAATAAGCACTGTTCTCCCAGCCTCTCTGTAGGGCTTAGGACATGAAAGGACTCATTTTGATTTTCATTCTGAGAACACCATGGGGTTTATTTACTAAAGCTGGAGAGTCCAAAATCAGACTCCCTTCTGCATAGAAACCAATCAGCTTCTAACCTCAGCTTGTTCAGTGAAGCTTTGGCAATGAAACCTGGAAGCTGATTGGTTTGTATGCAGAAGGGAGTCTGATTTTGGACTCTCCAGCTTTAGTAAATAAACCCCCAAATGTCAGGAAGTAATGGGTTCCCTGGAACAAGGAAAGCATCATACCAGATGTGCACTGCCAAATGTTTTACACTCATGCATTAGTTCCAACATTGGATATTTAGGAGTCGAATTCTCTTTTTATTTGTCTATTTCTTGCAGAGTGTGTAAGGATTATACACCACATTTACCTCTCCCCATCTGAAATATTTCTATTAAACACGTATTAAATCAGAATAAATAATAAGTGAATATTTCATATCCCAAAAAGTGGATCCACGTAGCTTTTTGCTCAACTGCAGGATTATTGTATAATTTGGATGCTTAGGTAACATATCAAGAGAAAAGGCCATGACGCATTTCGCTTATTCCTAAGGACTCTGTAAAGGATACTCGAGAGAGAAGAAGAGATCCAGGTTCTCTATATGGTTCCATGGTGCTGGAGAGGAGAAATCAGATTAAATTTAAAATAATAAGACAAAGACCAGAGTATGTACAGTATATACTGTGTGTGTGTAATATTCATACTGCATGTTCCATTCATCCAGAATGAATAACAGAGAAAGAAAGAATACTCACATTTACTGCCCTCTGGAACATGCACCAGCAGGTCATCCTCCCCCATCGGAGAGTCTGTGTATGAGGCCTCCAGCCTCTGGTATGGCGTGTCAAACACCGCCATGTCTCTTCTTCTTTACACCCAGGTCTCAGCATTCAGAAATGCGGCAGTACTAGAAATCTGGGAAGAGAAGGTCACATCAGTTCTTGAACTTGGCCTTTAGCATGGAAAACCATAGTACTAGTAATACTTGAGTGGACCATGCCAACCTGCCACACAAAACCCTCTATTTGCTGGAAATGTGGTGTTCTGGGAACATGGGTTGACCTGAGATTTCTACCTATGAAACTTTTTTTGCAATTTCAACATTAAAACTAATTTTGTACAATCAAAATAAAAAAAGATTTATGCACCCGCCATCTCCCCACCCTACACCTAAAAATCTACAGAATACATGTAAAAGGGACAGAAACAATTGAGTACTGTCCGTGATACTTTTTTTATTTGCACTAACATACAATTTTGAGGACAAGCTTTCGGGGTATGTCCCCTTCTTCAAAGTCCAAGCAGTACTCATTTTGATTTTCATTCTGAGAACACCAAATGCCAGGAAGTAATGGGTTCCCTGAAACAAGGAAAGCATCATACCAGATGTGCACTGCCAAATGTTGAGTACTGCTTGCACTTTGAAGAAGGGGACATACCCCGAAAGCTTGTCCTCAAAATTGTATGTTAGTGCAAATAAAAAAAAGTATCACTGACAGTACTCAATTGTTTGTGTCGCAAATGTACTAATAAGGCTACAATCACCTCAATGTAAAAGGGACAGAAGGGAATTTGCCAGCAAGAGGCTGTAGGCTTGAAAACCTTTGTGTCATCTGTCAACCACAAAATCATATACAATCCAAAAGATGAAAATGTATGTCCTGCCAAATGTTTTTAGTTTTAGTTTTGAGGATTACAATCCCTGTTGGCTTTTTACAGACATCAAGGGGCTAATAAATTTCCCTGGCTTCCTGCCATAGTGACAACAGTTTAACCAGAGAGGAGGTGAGGGAAAATCTCTAACAGAAACAGAGGAAGGTCAAAACCAGGGTGGATTTGATTTAAATCAAACGGATTTAAATCACGATTTAAATCACTAGTCAGTAAGGCTTGATTTAAATCCTAGTTTTCTACATAAAGACTAATTCTTGCTGGTATAACTTTAATATGCAAGTAGATGAAGATTTTTAGAATAACAACTTTTCATATTAGTTTTTTTATCCCCAGTTTAATAGGTTAATCATTCATATTTGGACAACTTTTCTGTTGTACTTAGGAAGGAGAAAAATAATCATTACCTTAATAATAACAATTTAAATAGATTTATTCAACTGAAACAATAACATTCCAGCATATGTGATTTGCTTCAACATCCATGTTTGTTAACTAATTTGGCTAAACAAAATATATATATTTTAAGAAACTTAGACTGTCAGCCCCTTCCTCCTCACACTTAGTTTCACTTTCTTCTTGTGCAGATCTATTCCACTCCAAACAATCAGAAAAATATTGTTTCTATTCTATTCACTGAACTTCTTGAAATTTAGCAGTGAAGGGGTTGATTCTGTATTCATAGGTTTGTAGAAGTTAGGATGAAGGTCTTTTTCTTAACTCTGTTCATGTTATAACATTTTTTGCTGTGAAGAAGAGGCATGTGATCTCCGCTGAGTCAAATTCAGTTTTGAGAACTGCAAAAGTAAACCAACATCTGTGATAATATCTTGTAGGCAGAGAAACTGCCCAATAATCTTACAAAAACCTCTGGAAGAGCATGACATTGTGAATGGATTCATGGAATTTATTTACCAAAAATATTAAACATATACAGCCTTATTCTACATAATTAAAAAACTAATCTTTATTTCATGATGGAATAACCTTTGGATGGTAATATATTTTCCTCAAAAAGCATTTTATTAAAAAAAATCCGATTTAAATAAAAAAAATCCGATTTTTTTTAATTTTTTTTAAAAAATCATTGATTTTTATCCACCCTGGTCAAAACCCATATCTGCATTTTTTACTGTTGCCAGCATCCCTCTTGCAGATTTTCACTTCACTTTCTGGTGAAACTGCTGTCACTGTTACAGTGGGTAAAGGGGTAATCTCTCTAATGGGTTCCAATTGGGGATTTCACCCTTCCACACTCCATCTGTACAAGAAAAAATGATTTTTGGCTGGACCTGTACGGTAGGATTTCTGACTTTTGCACAGTTGCCCAGAGATGACCTTTAGTTCGTCGTTTGATTTTTAAAATTTTTTTACTGGACATGTTTAACCACTTGCCGTCCGCCTGTGGTTTATAAACGGCAGGACGGTGGCACTCCAGGGGCAGAATGCCGTTCATAAACGGCACCCGCCATCTCTAGCTGTGCACCGCGATCTGGTGCCTGCTGTGTCCTCAGGACACAGTGAAACACCGATCATCGGACGGGACCTCTGTATGAGGTCCCGATCATGTGATCACTGATTGGTCAATCAGTGATCACATGCAAAGTAGTAAGCAAGATGTCACTTGTGAATGATCACAGAGATCACATGGTACAAGGCTATTCACAACAGCTACAACAGTATGTAAAAAAAACAAAAAAAAAAACCATAAATAATAATATAAAAAAATAAAATTAAAATGTAAAAAAAATGTTTAAAAATTATAATTTTTGGTTATAAACTAATTTGGCTTATTTTTTTTTTTTTACTAAAAAGATAATGGAATACATTTTGGCCAAAATTTATGATGAAAGATTATTTATTTGCAAAATTTTATAAGAAAAACACTTTTTTTTTTTTTCAAAATTTTTGGACTTTTTCATTTACATAGCAAAAAAAAAATAAAAATCCCAGTGGTGAATACATACCACCAAAATAAAGCTTTATCTGTCTCAGAAAATGGTAAAAAATTCATATGGGTACAGTGTTGCATGACCGTCCAATTGTCATTCATAGTGTGACAGCGCTGAAAACTGAAAATTGCCCTGGGCAGGAAGGGGGTAAAAGTGTCCGGATAGAAAGTGGTTAATAGCAAAAAGTCAAAAATGTTTTTTTTTTCTCAAAATTGTCGGTCTTTTTTTTATAGCACAAAAAATAAAAACCACACAGGTGATCCTCTTCTCGGGTCCCCCGCAGGTTCTCCTGGCCCCTCCCTGCTGTCAGGTGCCCCCACAGCAGCAGCACTAGTCACACACAGTGCGGCAGCTTGGCCCCTCACTCTCTCTCTCCTCATTGGCTGACTGGCTATGGATGGCGGCAGCAGTAACCAATAGTTCCCGCTTGCTGTCTCAGCCAATGAGGAGGCAGAGACCCGGGACAGCCGAGGCTGTTGTGCACATCACTGGAAGTCGATGGGGCTCAGGTAAGTATTAAGGGGGCTGAGGGCACTGCTGCACACAGAACGTTTTTTACCTTCATGCATAGAATGCATGAAGGTAAAAATCCTTCAGCCTTTACAACCACTTCAATTGAACAAGCTGAAGTTAGAAGCTATTTGGCTACCATGCACAGCTACACCAGATTCTGTGTGCTCCAGTTTTTGTAAATATCCCACCTTATCTTTAAAGTTTATATGAGATTTTAGTGAAGGGGTATACCAGTGGTCTCCAAACTGCGGCCCTTTGCTTGCCCTTATCCAGCCCTTGGGGCACTTTTTCCCCCACTGATACAAGACACTATTCCTGCTACTGACATCAACAACAGTCACTATTCCTCCATTGACACCAACGATTGGACACTATTCCTCTCACTGAAACAAACCATGAGGCACTATTCCTCCCACTGACACCAACAATGGAGCATTATTCTACCCACGGACACCAACAATGGGGCAATATTTCTCCAACTTAAACCAAGAATAGGGCGCTATTCCCCCCCAATGCCAAAGATGCATTGTTTACTCCCAATGAAGCAGGACAATTTCTACTCCCAATGGCCACAGTCTGGCCCCCCTAAAGTCTCACCCCCGGTTCACATCTGTGCAGGTGGTGCCGCTGCAAATCCGAACGAAAATCTGTGCAGCTGCACCACCTGCACAGACAAATGCGGACCCGCATCTAATGGCACGCCGCCCGCACTGGGAAAACGCAACAGTATTGGGAACCGAGGTTCCTGTGCAGGCTGCGTTTTCCAAAGTAGTGTAGGGACTTCTTCCCTGCATGTCACGGGAGTCCAATCAAATGAACGGGCACTCGTACCCGTGCAAAACGCAGCCCGCACGGCCGCATAGATGTGAACCTAGGGTGAAAGTTAGTAAACTGGCCCTTTGTTTAGAAAGTTGGAAGACCCCTGGGGTACACCTCTACTTTAAAGTGGGTCATTAAAATTCAAACTTCATGTTAACATGAACCAATATTAATATTGCAGAGACGTTTTTGTTGAATTTACAAAAAAGGCCACATTATCTGTGTCCTCCAGGTGTGCACCCGACACGGCACCATTTTACTTTCATCGAAGGAGTGCTGGCATACATTATTCACTTTGCTAAATATAGTAAGAAATAATGAGCTACATGGCTGAATAATGAGACGGACTCTGTGCACCTTGACAGTAAAACAGAGCCACTTTGCCTAAGGCCACGTGCTCCATTCTGCTCCATTCTGCCCTGATGTCTTCCTTTCTTCATTAAAAATACAAAAACTGTCATTCAACATTTCCCTAGAATGCCAGTTGTGTAATTTGTATTTAGATTGATAAAACAGGTTTGCTCGTTAGTAAACACCGTATGTCACAATTTAATATTCATGTATTTAAGTAAAATTATTGTAGGCTTCCGCCAAAGTGGCAGTTACTCACCGGCCACCGGCCTCTTCTCCCCGAGTGCCAGGTTTTTTTCAGTCTCTTGACTGGCTGGTGGGGAATGACATCATTCTATGCATACACACAGGAGTCAGTCAGTCAGTCAGTCATTCTGGCATGGCCAGAGTGTGCTGGGTATACATGCTGAGCTGTGCATGCGCAGCTCAATGTACATTCAACTGAAAACTGTGAGCTGGCAGGTAAGTGTGCATCGTAGTGTGTCTCTTCTGCAATAAATAGCTGCCTGCTCACTATTTTCTACAAATTAGGTTTTGTTCTGCTTTCAATTG